GATTTCAAGCACGCATGGATTTAGGATTGATGTTGGTGGTTTGTCAATTAGGAAATGATAGGGTTTGAAGGATTGTAATTATTTGGATTGGAACCTTGTAAAGATAATAGTCTAAAATTCAATATTGTTTCAATCTGTGTTAATAATTCGCGAGATTTGCTAGAGTTTGCGGTAAATTGTTTTAAAGCTAATATAAAAGATTCCGCGATCAAATCGTATATTACTTCGATGTCGATAGCTTTGGTGACAAAACACACGAACCAATATGTATATGCTTTATACTTTTTATGGACAAAGCTATGGCGATCTCTTAATATCATAAGATTGAATATTTGCACTGTTGCAGCTAAGATTGATTTTTTATTAATTGTTTGATTTATAGTGATATTTTTAGAATTAAATTCAAACCCTGTCTTGGCTAAAGTTGTAATTGTTTTATCGCCGATATTAAGCCAAGTATTCTGATTGTTTAAAAGATTTTGATAGTTAGCATTAGAATAATTTACGTTGTACTTTGCTTGATTATGTTTAGTAGTTAGATTTTGTTTATTTAATCTTCAGTCAATTTCAATCAATTTAGTCAACGTCACAGAAGATGTTTTTAATAGCATCGTTTTTTGGATTTTGAGTAAGATTCTTATTTGTTACTTGTTTTATTTGATTATTGAATTTTAATAATGGTGCTGAGGTAGTGTCTCTTATTACCGTAATTGATTTAATGTTGTTTTTAGGTTCAAGATGTTCAGCGTTATAATTAGCTTGATTTAAGTTAATTGTTAGATTTTGTTTATTTAAAACTAGTTCTTCTGTCGTATTAGCTTTAGTTGATAAGTTATGATTACAGAAGACGTTTTTAATAACATTGCTTTTTTGATATTGAGTAATATTCTCATTTGTTAATTGATTTATTATTTGATTATTAGAATCTAATAATAGTACCGACGTAGTTCCTCTTTTTGCCGTATCTGATTTAATGACGTTTATAGTTTCAGGATGCACAACGTTTTTAGATTTATTATTATTAGATTCATTGAGAGTTATTGATTCAGATGGAATCGAAATATAGTTGTTTAAAGTTTTTGTGTAATTGTTTACTATAATGGTTTTACTTTCGTACCGCGATTTTAGCAATTCCCAAACATTTATGTAGTTGTCCGCGGTAGCAGGTAAAGAATCGATTATGTTACCTGCTTCGCCTTTCAAGCAAGATTTTAGGTAAGAATATTTTTGAGAATTGCTAATATTTGGGTCAATATGAATTGTATAGAATGAATTATAGAAATGTAACCAGTTAATATCTGTACCGTCGAAATGAGGTAAATTAATTACTGCAAATTTATTATTGTTTGTTTGATATGATTTGTCACCAAGGCCACTATTTGAGCTAGGATCTGTTTTGAATGTTTTAATAATTGTTATTAAAATTACACAGCATTTAGTATAAGTATCATTGAAATCGTAAAATTCTGTATCTATCAAAAAGTCAATGTACTCTTCGTCATCAAAATGATTTGCAATTTGAATTAATATTTCTTGAAAAGTATCTAAAGAAGGTTTTAGTATTTCTAATATTTGTTTAAGCTCTGATATATCTAACTTGCTACTCTCATTTTCTCTTATTCTTTTACAAAAGCTATGGATTTGCGTCAAACGAAATTTCATAAACTCTTTTTTGATATTTAAATTTTCTAAAGAATCCATATTAACACAGATCTACTACGCAAAATTCAAATAACGATAGGTAAAGATAATGAATAGGAAGGATTAAGAAAAAGGAGTGCTTAAATTAGACTGACCTTTGTGTTGTCGCGTCATGTGTCCGCAATTGTTCCTCATGAGCTGATTTGGATTCAGCTGTTGTTTCCTTGATAATGTGCTGCAGCTTTATTGTGCTATAATTATGCTGCTTCTTGTTGTTTCACGATAATACACAATGCACTTACACTGAGATTTATTGTTAATGTTGATGTTAGTTTGATTTAATTGTTTGAATTGTTGCTGATATAATCGTTGTTTAAATTTGATTTTAGATTAACGTTCATGCGATGCAATGTATTATGTTAAAAGATGATTTAACTAATTACACTGCGCACTATAAGTTTTAGATTTTAGATTAATGTTCATGCGATGCAATGTATTATGTTAAAAGATGATTTAACTAATTTCACTGTGCACTATAAGTTTTAGATTTTAGATTAATATTCATGCGATGCAATGCATTATGTTAATAGATGATTTAACTAATTACACTGTGCACTATAAGTTTTAGATTTTAGAGTTTAGATTAATATTCATGCGATGCAGTGCATTATGTTAAAAGATGATTTAACTAATTACACTGTGCACTATGAGTTTTAGATTTTAGATTTTAGATAAAGGTTTTTAACTTAATATGCGATGCAATGTATTACACTAGAGGATGAAGATTTAAATAATACACTGTGCACTAAGTTTTAGATTTTAGATTTTAGAAAAAGGTTTTTAACTTAATATGCGATGCAATGTATTACACTAGAAGATGAAGATTTAAATAATACACTGTGCACTAAGTTTTAGATTTTAGATTTTAGATAAAGGTTTTTAACTTAATATGCGATGCAATGTATTACACTAGAAGATGAAGATTTAAATAATACACTGTGCACTAAGTTTTAGATTTTAGATTTTAGATAAAGGTTTTTAACTTAATATGCGATGCAGCGTATCACGCTAGAAGATGAAGATTTAAATAATACACTGTGCACTAAGTTTTAGATTTTAGATTGTTTCTTTCACTTTCACTGGTTAATCCGGCTCGAAGGACCAAAAAATGTTTAGTAAAATGACCATTCGGTTTGAATGGCCAAAAAAGTATTTGTTGAGATAGGTTCAAAGTGTTTAAGAAGTTCGTGATCTATCTGGATGCTGCCGAACTCTATTGAACACTTGCACTTTGCCGAAGGACCAGATATATTTAGTTGTTGGCTATATCAGACCGTTTGAAAAGATAATATGAATAAAAGATGATGAATAACTGTTTGATTATTGTGTATTTGAAATATATAGTTGAGATTTTAATTAGATGATTTAGATTTGAGTGTTAATTTACGACTGATCTTAGCTATATGAAATTTAGGTTGATACTAAATTATGTAGATTTTATAATTTTATATATTTTTCTGATTGGCCCATTTTGTGGAGTTAAGGACACCCCATTACAATTTTGGAACCAATCAGTGGTTATTACATTTATCAACCGAACAGGTATTGGTTGATAAATTGCATGATACGAAGAATTTAAACTGGATACAGGTAGTGCGAATTTCTTGGAAATATAAGGATGATTGTATGATGTAGTCAGGGACAGGTGATAAAAATTCTAGGAAAAATGGATTACTGATTTTGCGACAGGACGCGTAACAATGAAAGGGATGAATGAGGGTTTATTGTCGCTATCCTGCATGGAGATAATAAAATATAATTATTATACCAGGGTTGGCAATGACGCGTTAACACATATATAAACGATGATGTCTAATCTAATTAGTTTCCACATTTTGTCTATAAAGAAGAAATAATGAAATTTCTAGTTTTTATAATATCTGTTTATTGATCTACTGTGTTGACTTTTATACTTCGAGTGTTTAATTACGGTATTACGGTATGTGTAATTACGGATGCCATGCACCACTAGTTTGAGTTTAAAGGTCAGGCGTTACATCAATAAAAATAGTATAAAAGTTTTTAGATATTTATTTAAAATCTATACGTTTCGGCATCTTCGCCTTCATTCAATGACAATCAATATAATTTTTTTTATCTTAATATAACAGATGAAAACGTTATTACTCCATGGTATGAGTATCTGTACAGTGGTAAAATATATATTTTTTAACATCACAAATGGCAAAACATACAAATAAACATAAATAACTTTAAATAAGTTGTCGAAACTATATATTGACTATTCTAAGCCTAAGTTAGAAATGTCACTAACATTGCCACTGAATGAAGGCTATGATGCTAGCCGAAACGTAGGGATTTTAAATAAATTTCTAAAAACTCCCATACTAATATATATATATATATATATATATATATATATAGTCTAAAAAAATTAACAGCCCATTTGTCAAAAAAAAATAGATAAGAAAAAGTAATTTCCTTTATTGTTATACGTTTTGACACTTGATGTGTGTCATCATTCAGTAATCACCAGGTTAAAAGCATGACCTTATACATCTTAATAAAAATACATATTTTTAATTAAACGGAAATTTAACACAACAAAATTATTAAAAAACGGATAATTCTATTATTTAAATTCATCATGGAGAAAATATCATGCTATCATGTATAGGTGACAATCAAATGTGATATTTTTTTAACTTTCAATAGTGTAAGTTATAGTAATCGCAAAAAAATCGAAACTAGTGGGACGTATGGCTTTTTTTGTTAGATCTCAGAAACCGCTAGATCTGCCCTCATGAAAATTGGTCGATCGGTGTTCCCGAAATCGTCGACGAAAATTTGTATCCGCACACACACACACATACACACACATATTATCGGATATTTTATAGAGATTTTAACAATAAGTATACAGTTTATCCGTTAGACGGCGACGCGGCGCTTACGCGCTTTGACATTTCGTCTCTATGCAGTTAAAGCAGTACGATTGCTTTGAAAAAAAGTTCAGAATTTCCAAAATATGTCAAAATAAAGAAAACACTTTTTTTCAATAAATTTTTTTTTTCAAAAAGAAGTAATTTTTTGTCAAATTTATAGTTTCTCAAAAATCTAATTTTTTCGAAGTAAAATTTTTTCAAAAATGTTAATCGTTTTTAAAAAAATAATAATTTTTGGTACGGGAAGTTTCAGCAATTTGCCTTAAGGCACGGTGCCATGCGCCCCATTAGTTTTATATATTAAATAGTTTGGTCAGCAATTATTCCAGTTCATAAATTATGTGTACATGTACACCTTCTTTTGCAATAACTATACATTTCTTTCACTTGCAGCGTAGCAGTGCGGTGCTATGCTGGGCTACGCTGTTCCTGTCAATGGCGCTCGGCGCCGCCGGACTGAAAGAGCCACCGGCGGGGACGCCGCAGTTCAGGCGCGACAACGTGGAATCTCCACCGCGGTTCACGACAGATTACATGGAAGCAGTTTTTGGCACGTCCGCACTGCCGTTGCGTGACGCCGTGGAAAGCGTGCCGCAGAGGTTTTTGCTTAGGTGAAATTAATGACATAATTGATTGGTTTATAAAAAAGGTCTTTACTTGTAAGTTAAGTTTTTATTTTCATGGTTTTCAACCTGCAGAATGCGTTTCCTCAAGGGGGTACTAGGCTGTTTCTAAGGAGGCGTACAGCTTTTTCCAAAATACTATTTTCGAAACAAAACCAAAAATGTTGAAACGATAAGAAAATTAATGAATAAATAATTATTAATTATATATGTTTTTACATAAAATTGCATATTATTTTATAGTCTAATGATTAAATATTATAATTTAATAATTTGATCAGTTCAGATGAAATAAAATTGTTAAAGTGAAGCGCATCATTTTTTTAAAAGATCGGGCGGGGGGGAGGTGGTAGACAGTGCTCGGTTATAAAACGTTGGATAACACTGCTTTACATTGCATATTGACGTGCAAAAGTGCGCCCTCTCGCCTAACGAACATTACGAATAATAAACGCAGGCTAAAAATTTCAAACAAAAGCGAATCAGGGGATAAATTAACCTGGTCAATTAGCAATTTTTGAATTACCGAAATCAAATCAAATTTTTGTAGAAAGCTTCATACAATAGTCAGCAGCGCTTTTGAAGGGCATTTAAAAGCATTTTCATGATATAAATAAATCACACAAATTTATAAAAAGAAGTTGTATTTGCAGGGCGTGCAACATATGTTTCCTAACAATTTTTTTCACTGCTGAACACTAATCAAATGTCAAAATTTGGGTTCAAACGGCAAAAAATAGCAAAACATAAAAACGATAAAATCTCTGATCTAGTAGTTTATCTGCGTAGTAATTAAAATCTTATAATTTCTTTCATTTCCTGACCATTTTTTCCTTAAATAACCTGTGCAACGGATTTCTGCAACGCCTTTTCAATCTCTAATGACTATTTTTTTGTAGCATCCACCAGCAATTTGCAAACATACTTTTTCCCCTTTTGCCTCTAGATAATCTGCACACATATTTGCAGATATCTGAAAATATGTTTGCAAATTACTGCTGGAAGCTACAGAAAAAAACTCAACAGATCATTTAAGAAGAAAAGGATCAGGAAACAAACAAATTATATGTTCCTAATTATCATGCAAAAAATTACTAGATTCAAGATTTCATCAGTTTTATTAAATATTCTCTATTTTTGCAGTTTGACTTCCAATTTTGACTTTAGATTTGTGTTCAGTGGTAAAACTTATATTGGAAATCATAAATAGCACACCCAGCACATATAACTTTTTTGTGAACCTCTGTAATTATATAATACGATTCATGTTATGTATTTGATATAATAAATTTACTTTTGCACATTGTCAGAGCACTATGGGATACGTGGGACAATATTTTCTTCTGCTGACTATAGAAAATCTAAAATTTCTTATAATTTTGCTTCGCAAAGTAGTTAGTACTATTCATTTTGCTATACAATATAGATAATGCAAAATATTATCTATTAATAATTATATTTCTACCAAAAAAGTTTGATTATTTAATATCACTTTAATTTTTATCTATCGCAGGCATAACTTGCCGCAACGTTTGCCTTTGCGTGATGCTGTAGAAAAGGTACCTTTGTGGAGTGCAGATGAAGCCGAGGAACTTGTTTCGAATGAGGATCCATGGGGATCTCTAAAAGCTGAATGGGGGGAAGCAACGAATGCAGATAGCGAACCTGCACCATACAGATCTGATAATCCTTATCAAAAAATAATCAATTGGCGTAAGTATTTATTAAAATTTATATATCTCATTTTCACCATGATATTCTATTAAAAATGCAGAAAGTTTTAGCTCCATGACGATAATACTTGTTGCTATTAGTTCACGTTTAATTAATATTATTATTATTAGTTTTTCTGTACAACTTCATTATAATTTATATTTATATTCATTTAAACAACGCAAATGGCAATTAAATACTTATGATTATAACAAACAAATATTATATGAAAAAAAAAACTAAAAACCATTACTAATATTTGTGATTTTTTTAATTTTAATAACTTTTTTTTCAGAGCAACCATTTCCATCAAAGTTTAATATTCGAGGACCAGCTGCATTAGGAGAGCGTGGACAATACAGTGATTCTTTTCAAAATCTTATTGACTTCCGTGAGTAATAAATGCAAAATGTTTTGATATAAAAATATACATTCAATTCTTTTTAACTCGAACTTCAAAACTAATTTCTTAGTTTAGTAATTTTAGATAACCAATAAACAAAGAACAAAGAAAGCTTAGCAACTTGTTCGATGGATGTACATATATAACTAAAAATGTAATGTTTATTTTATGTATTCTTTTTACCTTTGTTTTTATCAATATTAGTTTAAATTGCACGCAACGCATTGTCCATTAGAATACGAAATTAATTTCTCCAAGACAAAAAGTTAAAAGTACAATTTTGATTTAAAGACTATACATTCTAATATATCGCTTCGCAGAGTTGCATTATGAAATGATTATATTTGGTTCAAGTTATCCCAATAACATTTATTTGCAAAGTAATAGTATATTCACATAATTTCTAAACATAATCTTGTGCATACCTACAAAAAGTATGTCTGAGGTTCATACACATAAATATAAATAAATTATCAAAAAGTATATCATAGTATTACTATCTAATTCACGGTGTTTAAAATTTATCCTGATGTTATTTTCCTAGGATTGCGACCACCAATATACAAAGCACCAGCTGAACGATTCAAAGTCTTATGTTACGTGACAAATTGGGCCTTCTACCGTAAAGGAGACGCTAAGTTTGTACCTGAGCAAATTGATACATCACTATGCTCCCATATTGTTTATGCTTATGCCTCATTAGATCCAGAAACGCTTGTGACGAGAGAATTTGACCCTTGGGCAGATATTGATAATAGTAAGTAACATTTAGAATAACATCATAGAACAAGTTAGTTCTAATACACTGAAATATGTACATTCTGATTCTTCAACAAAAATTTCAATAATAAAAATGAAAATCTTTAATCCAGAAAACAAACATGTTTGAAACTTTTAACTCATAAATTTTTCTAATTATATTATACTGTTTATGTGTAAAATTAAAAATTTCTCAGTTTACATAATTATGCATTATATACAGGGTGTCTCAAACCTTGACGTCAAGCCGAAACGATAGAATTGACCTTAAATGTAATGAAAAAAATTGAAAAAAATTATCTCACGTTGTTTGGAAATTATAAGCTTCTAAGCGCAACCTAGAGCTTTGGTAAAACTATGACTATTTTTGGGTTATTGTGGTTAATTTTAACTAATTTTGTCCGTTTAAAATTTGAAGCAGTAACCGTGAATAACATTTCTAGGACCACAATCAAAAACGTTAACACGATGAGCCTCTGAAAGTGCACCGATTTTAAAAATTTTAAATTCATTGCTCAACAATAAGTCTGAATTGAGGGACAATTGCGTTAAGGGGGTATTCTATTGTAGAATTTAGAAAAAATCGAAAATTTTTTTCTCATATTTTCAAAGTTTAGTTATTCAAAAATATGTCATTAAAAGGATTTTTCAAAATTACTATTATTTCCTGAGTTATAGCCGTTTTAGTGACGTGGCCTGGGTTCGGGTCCGACCGAGTCTCAAAACTTTGAACGCGGTTTTCTCGGAACTACTTCTTTCGAGGTGGCGGTAAGGATATCTCGAGCTCTAATGAACCGATTTACTTCAAATTTGGAGATGATCTTCTCTATACATCGCTTTATCGCATGGACCTTGTCCAAAACTATAACTTTTCATTTAGTCGGAATTGTTAAAAAAAAACTGAACAAAAATTTTTTTTTCAAACTGCCGCCATTCAAACAAATTTTTTTTTTTACTTATCCAAGGTTCATACAATAGCGGCATCTATAATAATTAAGAATCCATCTATTTTTTATGTTTTGGATCACCAGGAGGGTTGGTATCATGCACGCCAGGACACCCTCTTTTTTTTTGAGCCCCCACTTTGACTGCTCATAACTTTGTGAATTTTAATTTTTTTTTAAATATTTTTTTATGTAATAATAAAATATCAATAAACAAATGATAAAAAAATCAATAGTAAAAATATTATTTGTTTCCTTTATACAGCGCTTCAAAGACCGGACGAAATTCATGCCTCTACAGTAGAATACCCCCTTAATGTTTTCGATTGTGGTCCTAGAAAACATTTCTTTCACAATTACAGTTCTAAAGTTTAAATACACACAATTAGTTAAAATTAACCACAATAACCGAAAAATGGTCATAAATTTACTAAAGCTCTAGGTTGCACATAAAAGCTCATAGTTTCCAAACAACGTGAGATAATTTTTTTCAATTTTTTTCAGGACAGTGAAAGTCAATACTGTCACTCTGTTTCAGCTTGACTGAGACACCCTGTATATATGTATATTTCTTAGATGTGTATATGTTGTGTTGAACTTTGCACAAGGAATTCAATTGCAATGACAAACCAAAAAAAAATATTATAGATCGCCAACGTTTCGGGACTATTTACGTTTCATCTTCACAACATCAAGAACATAATCTTTATTAGAAGATAAACAAAGTATAGAAGTAAAAAATAAATAAAATTAATGGACAGTAATTACTAATTAATTATTACTGTTAATATTATAAATAATAATACAACAACTTTGGCCTTTTTCATGCTTCTAAAGAAATTTGACTAACGGGTATAAATTAAAAAAATGAACTGGCGGTGCATGGCATTATGCCTTAAGACAGAATTGCTTGATTTGAAAATCTAATTGAAAATATTTTAAATAATTTTTTTTATTGAATAATTTCTGTTGCTTATTGATTATTTTTATTTCTCGAATATTTAATAACGGTACTGGAACTATCAGCAATTTGCTTAAGGCACGATGCCATAAACCACGACCTTGTTTTATATTTCCTATTAATTACCTTATTTCCAGGTTTATACTCTCGCATAACGTCATTGGACGGTCCAGAGGTAATTCTCGGCCTAGGCGGCTGGACGGATAGCGCGGGTGACAAATACTCTCGCCTGGTGGGCAACGGCACCGCCAGACGTCATTTTGTCAGCCAGGCCGTTGCATTCGTTCGAAGATATGGATTCCGGGGTCTTCAGATCGATTGGAACTATCCAGTGTGTTGGCAAAGCGACTGCAAGGCCGGACCAGCAGCAGATAAACCAAATTTCACAAAGTTGCTGCAAGAGTTGAGAACGGAATTCGATAAGCATAATTTGATACTTGGTGTTGCCATCTCAGGATATAAGGAGGTAATGCTTTAATTTGAAAATATTTTGTATTAAAAATAATCAGTTAGAATATGACGTTAATTGAGTTAATTATAAAGCCACCAGATAAGGTTTTCCATTTCTTTACCATATATACACGTGGGTGGGATAAAAGGAACAACTAACCTGGCAAATGTTTGAACAATAAAAAGTAGTAAATAAATAAGTAAATGAAGTTAATATAAATAATTTTACAAGAGATAAATTTGATAAATATTTATTGCTCATAAATATGTCTGACAAAATACCAGATCAAGATTATATACAGTGTTATCTCTATAAAAAATGTGCACATGAAATTCATATTTTGGTAGATAAATGTAGCTATTATTTCAAAAAATCCCTTTAAATTTAAAAATGGGATATTGAACTTATATTTCCCCGTTTCATTTTACTTCCTCCATGGAGTAAAAAGAACCTGGCGACAAAATTTTGAAAAACAGAAAAAAACACATTTTTAACTTCCCGTAGGGTAAGTTATAGTAATCGCAAAAATATCAAAAATAAAAATTTTTATATATCTTTACGTTTTAGAGGTTTCTGAATATTTTGGCATACCTTAGAAAAAAATGGATGTATGTGTGTGCATGTGTGTGTATGTGTGTGTATGTGTGTGCGCGTGTGTATGTGTGTTTGGATACAAATTTTCGTCGACGATTTCGGGAACACGGATGAAGCGATTTGAATAATTCAAAAACATTCGATTCGTATTGATAAAGAGACTGAAGGCAGGTCTAGTCGTTTCGTAGATATGGGGCAAAAAGTGCCTAAAGTGATAACTCAGTTTTCAAGAGAACAGAGCGTTCGATTTGAATAATTCAAAAACATTTTATTTGTATTAACAAGATGAAGAACTGATCATATTTTCATGAGGGTAGGTCTAGCGGTTTCGGAGATCTAACGAAAAAAGTAAAAAAAATGCCATTTAGCGGTCAAAATCTTCATTAGACATATGCACATCAAATTATCAGATATTTTATAGAGATTTTAACAATAAGTATAAATTTTGTTTACATTCATATGGGTTCCGTACCAATGCTTATCCGTTAGACGGCGACGCGGCGCTTACGCGCTTTGACATTTCGTCTCTATGCAGTTAAAGCAGTACGATTGCTTTGAAAAAAAGTTCAGAATTTCCAAAATATTTCAAAAAGTCTTTTTTTCAAAAAAAAGTAAATTTTTATCAAAAATTTATAGTTTCAGAGTAATTTTTTTTCAAAAATGTTATACTTTTAAAATGAAAATAATTTTTGGTACGGGAAGTTCCAGCAATTTGGCTTAAGGCACGATGCCATGCGCCCCACTAGTTACAATATTAAATTAGCTGGGAGTTTTACTGAAAATAATCAGATAGTTGTTTGTTTGATATGTGTTATTTGGTGTGATATAATTCATTTGGTTTTTATAATATAATTGGATCAAATTAATTAAGTCAAATTGGATCTTTGTGCTCCGCATTACCCTATTTGTGGTTCAAACACTACATAGTTATAATTTCAAGTAAAATCTAAAATAAATGTCATAGAACAAACTTTTAATTAACCGTTAGGTCATAACGTCCGCATACGACTTACGGGGCATCTCCAAAGCCGTTGACTACATGTCGGTGATGGCCTACGATTATCACGGAAGCTGGGAAAGTCGTACTGGGCACGTGGCTCCCTTGTACGGTCGCGAACAAGACACGCACCCGCAGTATAACACGAATTACACGATAGAGTACCTCACGCAACGCGGAGCGGCGCGAGACAAGATGCTGCTCGGGGTGCCGTTTTATGGACAGAGCTTCACCTTGGCGAGAGATAGCGGTAAGATAATATAAGTACATAGTATAAGTGAAGATTTAATTATCTTATATTGATTATAATCATTCGAATTTTAAAATATGAAGTTACTTTATAAAATGTACGTTCAATGTGATTAAAATGAGGATATTTCACAAAAAGACAACAATTTAGTATGTAATAAATTTGCGTAAATAGTTTGAGTCTTGAACGTAGTTGAGCTTCTAATGCAATTAAAAATGACCGAAAATCAAACTCAATTCATTATTTTATAAATTATAAAAATCGTAATCATTTACAATTTTGTATTAAAGTACTTATGTTCTCGATACATAATATTATTATTGAATAGAAATCTATCTTTCATATAGAAAAATGTTACCCAGTATGTATCTCGAGTCTATATGAACCGAAATTATTAACTATACTCCCGGATTGAAATGCCCTGAAAAAAATATTTTTTTTCAAGTAATATTTAAGCGTTTTCATAAATTCAAAAAAAATCTTAACTAAAATTAAGTCAAAAACATTCATTGACAGCACTCGAGATGTAAAATGATTAGATTACTAAAATGGCTTTTACGAAATAGGGGTTTGTGGTAAGAGAGTGAAAATTTAAGGTTGCACGTGTATTATAATTATGAATTATAAAAAAATGAAATAAAAATTGTTGGTCGCACAATTGAAAAAAGACACTCAAAGGTGACCAATCCGTACAACTTAGGAATAAGAAAAATAGATGTAGGCCGACTCTCAGTCATACTGATCGCAATGATAAAATTTTATAAAATCTGTAAAGTATTGTGACATGGAAATTTTATATAGGGACTCTATTTATTAATTTATTAGAAATCAGAAAAATTGTTAAATATTATTATCAAACATTGATAATTTTTAAGAAAATAAGTTATACAAAATTTAAAATTAATCGATAATGATGACGCAAACCAAGATTTTGTGATGGTACAATTTCATATTAAACAAAATAAATGACGCAACGTTTAATACGATCACCTTAGCGAGACAAAGAAATATTTTAATATCGTTAAAGAACCGTATAAAAAACGACTGTTACTAATTACTCCCGTTACAGATAGGCCCTAGCTTCCATATTTGTAGTTATATTTTACAGTTATATATATATATATATATATATATATATATATATATATATATATATTTTACAAAAAATATAGTACGTTGTGAGTATGAAGTATAAAGAATTTTGTCAGTATCTTATCCACATCTCGTCATTTTTAGTTTTATTCCATTATCGTCCCTTTTGATAAAGACTATATGAATTATGTTAAATACTAAATTATTAGAAACAATATTTAACACATTCCATTATTAGCGTATACAAACGTTGGGGGAAGTCCCCAAGTGGCGGACACCTAATGTTATTTATAAATAACTCAAAATATATTTCACGTAATGTTTATTAAATTATGATTTATGTTAGATAATTATGTTTAGAAATCAAACTAAATTAACAAAACCGCAATCTTCGCTAAAAGTAATTAATACTATCATCCAAACTTAGGTATCAAAAAATATGATTTAAAACAGTGGCACCTAGTACCGGACATTTCAAAATAACCTGCATTGATCACATATAAAGCCATCTTCGCACTCTGGAATGTCTGCACATGTGTCTTTGACGAATATTCTAAGATATTGCAAAAAAATCACTATTCATCCACCCTTTTGCCTGGGCCACACCGATGCTTTCAGCTGGTGCATTCGCCATAAGCTTTTCATTTTTTAACTAAGAAATACGAAAAATGGGGATATGTAGTGACCGTTAGCACTCATACAGAACAAAATTAATTACTTGGAATAAATTACGCAAATTCTCACAAGGGACGACTTAGTGTCCGGTGCTAAAAGACAGGCATGTTCGTTCATTTGGTGGTACCTACTAAAATTGTTTAAAATATCTAATATTATTCTATCATTTTACGGATAACAATCAAGTACTACTTTTATGCCACTCAAATGTAAATGCATAAATATACTAGAATTACTTCCATTGATATTTAGGTGACGCTGTGATTTTGTGCCTAAAACAGCAAAGGGTTGCTCTCGCCGTGGCCGTGTGCGTCACAGGCGAGGCTAGGCGCGTGATCCTGTACCTGTGTGCCTCCCATACCCATTTCACTTGTATTTTGAAATGAAAAGATTTATACTCGCTTAAATAATGCGTCTCAACCCATTTGCATCAAAAGCGCACATATGCGCGCATTTTGCCTGGCCACTATCACCAGAGCCCGCATATACGTATGCTCACATTGCCCTTGGGCATTTATCACCCAACGAATTCACCAAAGAAACCTCGCAAACGCTGTGTAGTTTTTTTATCAGAAAGAAAGAAAAGAGACATTTTATCAATGTGATAATTGCCATGTGGCATCATGCATTGATCATTTCACGCACTATCATGTTGTGCAAAATAATTAGATTTCATTCCTCTCATAATTATTAATCTATTATGAAGTAAAATTTCTTTATTTATGTAATATTGCTTTTATTTTTAACAATTGAAAACATTTTTAGTTAAATACAATAAAAAAATATTTGGTGATAAGAACGATTTTTTAACTTTTCTGTGTGATGCAAATGGGTTAAATAGAGTGTCCGGTTCTTGCTGCCGTCCGGCGTTACGGGACTTCCCCCTATGTAATAACATAAATATTAAAATTATTCTTTAAATTACAGGATCATCAAGCAGTGGTCGCAGTGAAGGATCCGCAGCAGCAGGACCTGGGGAAGCAGGCGAATTCACGAGACAACCAGGAATGCTTTCGTACTATGAGATTTGTCACCGAGTGCGCAACCAGCGATGGACAGTCGAGCGCGTCGACGGCAGTCCGCATGCCTCCAACAGAGACCAATGGGTATGTCAAATGGAAATAAATTTTTAGTTGAAATATTTGACAAGGACATGAAATTATTGACACGTATTTAATATGATTGCTTTAAAAAAATGAAATAGTTTAACTAGTGGAGTAATTTATCTATTTTTCTTTTCATTATATATCAATACCATTTTAATTATTTGTTTTATTTATTCGTTGCAAATAGAATTACGCATGAAACTTGATAAAATTTATGTTCCAGGTAGGTTATGAAGATCCTGCTTCAGTTATGGCCAAGGCTGACTATATCGTAAGTAACGGATTAGCTGGAGCAGCTGCTTGGACAATAGATCTGGATGACTTCAACAACAAATGCTGTTTGGAGCCATTCCCTTTGTTAAGAGCGTTAAATAGAGCTTTAGGACGTTTACAAGGTGAGCTTATGATGCAATAATATAATCCACTCTAAAATATGCCACTGCGTATATATTGCTCATAACAATTTTGGCATAACAGTAAATATATATAGTGCAAATTGTACAGCAAATTGTCTTTTCTTAACATCATCGATTTATTAAATGCATTTTTTATAGGAGCCGCACCTAGCGGCGGTGATTGTTCGAAACCAGCCGCACCGGTTACACCAGCAGCGCCAGTGCTGACAACCGCTGCCGACTCGGGAGCTCCCCAGCACGATCACACTACACCATCTTCTGGAAAACCTTCATCTACCACTTGGCCAAGTTGGAGTCCAAAACCTACAACGGCTGCCAGTTCGACCACTCATAGACCGCCAACTGACACCACTTCCCGACGGCCAACGACTACCACGAGAAGGCCTACAACCACGAGGAAACCAACTACTACTCGTAGACCAGCCACCGAAAGCGGTACGAATGAATAAGCACAATACAATTTTTTTTTAATATTATATCAATTTCAAATCCAGAATTAATTATGATATAGGAGATTCTAATAATGCCAGAATTAATTATGATATAAGACATGTGAAACAATTACATCATCTACTATGTTTTTTATTCGATAATTATTTTGTTATCATATATTTGATTGATTTTCCACATTGTGGAAAACATAAAATCTACATATGAAAGAGTATGTAAGAAGTTTATACTTATATTAGCAGAAAGTAGCATATTAAAACCATTTAATAAGAATTTATTTCCATTAATACTAAACGATATATTTGTATATTTAAAACAAAGTATTTATTATTAGAGCAAGCAGATCCTGCGGCGCCAACGGTTGGCCAAAGCTGCTCCCCCGGAACACAATTGCCAGATCACAAAGATTGCTCTAAATATTACAGATGTGTTCTGGGTCAACTAAAACGTGAATCTTGTGCAGGAGGACTTCACTACAATCGGCAAACTGCCGGCTGTGATTGGCCTGCTAATGCTAAATGCAAACCATACAGTCCACAAACTACTACCAAAAGTGAGTTGATTATGATACCTTAAGAAAATAACAAAAATATAACAGAATCAGTAAAGATACACTGATTCATTAATTCATTTAATGTTTTTATATTAGGGATTTTCACTGAATGAAACTCACATATCGCATCGGAAATACTCTTTGAGCGTATATAAATATTGCTTCCATATATTTGATTTTTAAAAGTTTTTTTTCTTTACTCAATACTTGTTTATTTTTGTCCTTTTTATCATGTCCAACACGTTCTAACTTGATTTTTACTGTTTATAATAATTTCTGTATCATATAGAACCAATTGTTGATGACGACTACACATCTCAAAAACCGACCAGACCTCCAAGGCCCACCAGAACAACCACAAGAAGAACTACTACTGTTACCACAACCGCCGCACCCACCACAACTACAACGACGACTACAACTGCTAGGCCCACAACCAAGAGACCCACAAGAAGACCGACGCGCAGCACTACTGTTGCTGCTGATGTTACGGCTACGACATGGCCTACCAAGAGGACCACAACTAGAAGACCCAACCAAGAGTAAGCTACTAATAACAAATATATATATATATATATTGATGCATAAGTTGATATTGACATGATTTAAAAAAAGATGCTATATTTTGAACCGTAAATTAAAACAAGTGAAGTTAATGGTACCATTATTGATGGTATATTCAATATTCTATTGAATGTAGAACATGAAGTAGGTTGGTTATATGAAATTTCAAGAAATTTAAAAAGCCTAAGCAAAACATGCATAAGTGCTTAAATAGTAAAGCATTCCTTTATCACGAAATTATCGTCCGCCTGAAAAAAAATAGTTAATTGTCTAAATTCACAATAAAAAAATATAATATACAGGTACGTAGCTACCTCTGAATCAGTGGAGCCCTAACGTGAGTAAGCAAACATTAGTTTGTTATTTCACAAAAGGGGAATTAATCATGAAAACTTTACACTAACTAAATTTTCGAAGAAAATAATGTTAGAGAAGTATTATTTTCCGGGTCACTGAGGCCCCCAATGTGTCTAAGCAAAATTCAGTAAAATCTTTCCAATTTTTGTTTGTTTTTTACAAATCACAAATTAAATTAATCGACCTGGAATCTTTTCTAGACCTTATGGGAGTCTTGTAAAAATCTTCTGAATAACCGGTAAGGTACTAATAAAAATCTATCAGAAACGTAAATGATTGTGGTATAATGGAAATGTTTTAGGAATCTTATAAGGAATCTGATAATAAATTTTACGATGCAAATAGGAATCAGGTTGTAGTCAATATCAGGTTAAACCTTATTCGAATCTAGTTAGCATCTATTTATAATTGTGGAAAAGTGACTGATAAGTATTGATAATATATAATTTTTTTTTATTTGTTAGCATTGTTTTATTTTGTGATAAATTTTTGCTTTTGGTGAGAGCCTTCCAAAAAATTATCATACGAGGAGCCCCACGACGCTACGCCCATGATAACATATTTAATATTTGAAGTAAATATAAAACATTTTTAATATAAAATTAAATAATGTAACATATTGAATATAAGGTTTCCAATTGTTGCAGCACTTTATACAAAATATTACTTCCTAAATCTCCAATTCAATTTACTGTTATTACACTAATCATAGAATAGATGGTCGAGAACAGTCTATGTTGCCCAACAAATTTTAGGGCATTGAGAAAAATCATAGCAAAATATTTATAATAGACCACTCTTAACGATATTAAGTTTAACTTATCCAATATATCTTGAGCACTTACTTAATTTGTCCTAAATTATATTAATACTGAGAAATGTATTTTTTAACGATTTAATATGTCCAAAAATAACCGGTCCTTAAGGCAGCAACAAAATTGACTCATGGGAAGACGAGATTTCACATAAGTTTAACTATTCGAATTTGAACAACAATTACAAAAGAAAATAATAGGTAATTTAAATCCATGTTATATTAGAATAATAATTATCTTTTAATTTCAAATTAGCTCTCCTTCGAAATGCATACCAGGAGAATACTATCCTCACGAACAATGCGACATGTTCTACATCTGCGTTAATGGTCATCTTCTGCAGCAGTCTTGTGCCCCCGGACTTTTGTGGAGCGATGCCGACGGCGGTATGTGCGACTTCGCGGATAATGTTTCATGCAAAAAACGACACAGAAAACGCCACGCTGTCTACTTTGGTGAGAATAGAAAATATTTAATAGAACAACGAATAGTTCATTTTGATATGAAATGAAAAATGCTTAGTACAAGATTTCCTATAGCATAGCGAAATTTGTTGATTTACAATTGTCAGCCGTAACAGGGACATTGTATATTATAATGACATGTTGGAAAACAACTCAATAGTAGTATTCGATTTATTGATTCAATTGTTAGTAAAATGATTTATTTGCATTGACATTTGAATTATTGAATACAAGCAATATAGACAATTGCTTGTGACGTCAATTTTTGGTAATATATTTATGACAAAAATGTTTGCTGAAGTAGCGATTGATAACATATATATATATATATATATATATATATATATATATACATATATATATATATATATATATATATATATATATATATATATATATATATATATATATTATTATTATTATTATTATTATTATATATTATTGATCGATGTGTGCATTTGTGTACTAAATAATAAATATACATTGTCTTCAAAGGTACAAAAACTGTAGAAGAAGATTCTGAATGCGATGGTAACGAGCATCATCCGTATCCAGGAGACTGTACCCAATATCTCTTATGCCAATGGGGAAGATTGGAGTCAGCTAGTTGTGCTCCTGGTATGTCTTCATTACATTACCATTCAATAATTTATATAGTTATTTCTGTTATACATACAATTAATCATAAAGGCCAATAAAGAAAATGTACCATGCAAATAGTTCTAAAGTGATGCACGTACTATAAATTGTTTTTGATAAAAAGAAAAAAGATTAAAGGCTTTAGCATATTTTATTTTCATGTTATAGCATCAGACATTTTTACGTCTTAAGTAAAATCGTATATTTTAGTAAAACGCCGACAAGACTGCGATAAAATTTCATATCTATATTAATCTATATCTAATCTGATAAATATTCCAAGATATATCTATTGCCTATACATTAACAAATCAAAAACCATATGATCAGATTAATTATATTATACATGACCCATGATCTTTATTTTTTACCATAAATCATTTAATGAACAAAGAATATGTGTAACTTTTTTATTAAAAAAATAATTTGTTTTTAAGGTTTGCATTGGAACCAAAGACAAGGCATTTGTGATTGGCCGAAAAACGCTAAATGTGAAGAACACGATGAGGAACAACCAGCTTTTGTAGAGGGTTCATCTCCTAGCTATCGTCCAACAACTACACGGAGACCCAAACCCACAACGGCACCCACAACTACAAGTAAACCAGTACCGACTACAACCCCCGTACCATTGGAGCCTCTATCAGGTCATTTTAAAATGGTTTGCTACTTCACAAACTGGGCATGGTATCGCAAAGGTATTGGCCGGTATTTACCAGAAGATATAGATCCACAGCTCTGCACGCATATTGTTTACGGATTTGCTGTTCTGGACTATTCTACTTTGACTATCAAGGCACACGATTCCTGGGCCGACTATGATAATAGTAAGTCATACGATGAATGGTCTAACTAAAATTAATGCCTAGGTCTAATGTAAATTAATTAGAAAAAATTAATCAATTTGAGTGTGAACTTTTGTAATAAATATATTAAATATTGACAAACTCATTAAAGCCTAAATTTCTTCAAATATTATTCGACTCGCTCTTGACTTTCTTTATTAAAATATTAAAAGTTCGATTCTCAGAAACCATTTCGATTGTAATTAATTTCATAAAATTATTCAATTATAATTATATTTAGATTAATGTAATCATTAATTATTAGAAATATGTGGAGACATGTGTAGAACATATTTGTTAAAGAGTCAATGCATTTACTTTATTAATTATAAGCAAGTGCAAGTTTCATAATCATTTGATATAATATGAAATATAATATTGTAATGTATATTTTCTTTCAGAATTCTATGCTCGTGTGGTCGCAATGAAAGAGAAGGGAGTTAATGTATCAATTGCTTTGGGTGGATGGAATGATTCTATGGGAGACAAGTATTCTCGTCTAGTAAACAGCCCAACAGCTCGAGAAAAATTTGTCAGTCATGTTACAAATTTCATCGAGAAACACGGATTTGACGGTTTAGATTTGGATTGGGAATACCCTGTTTGTTGGCAAGTACGTACGATGACATTAATTTTATGATGAGAACAACAAATCATAACATTTCTGTTCCTTATTTTATGGTGGACTTATCTTGGGTGATATTGAATTGTAGTTCTAGAACGTGTAATTAACTTTAAATTAGCCTGCTACAATGATTAGTAATGTTTAATTATTTTGATCTACTCGGCTCTTTAAAGCCTGCTCGATCATAAATTATGAGTATTCACAGCTTTGCTTGCTTTTCACAGAAAATAAAAAAAACTTAAAAATTACTAAAACAGTTGATTGTTATTATATATTTATATCTCATCTCTTATTTACAGGTCGACTGCAAGAAGGGTCCTGCATCCGATAAACAAGGTTTTACCGCTTTAGTACGGGAATTGTCCGCCGTGTTTAAACCACGAGGATGGTTGCTTTCAACTGCCGTTTCACCGAGCAAAACTGTAATAGACGCCGGATACGAAGTGGCTAAATTGGCTACCTACTTCGATTGGATTGCAGTCATGACTTACGACTTCCACGGGCAATGGGATAAGAAGACCGGTCACGTAGCACCCCTGTTCTATCATCCTGATGATGATGTTGATTTCTTCAACGCCGTAAGTAAATTAGTTCCGAAAACAATATTCGGTTTTTTGTCACTTTACAATTAATGATGATCCAAATTATATACTTTTGATCCAAATATATACCTAAATCATCTGTGTGTGAAGTTTCTATCCGGGCTATGAAAATATACATACGTTTTACATCTGTGCAATAATATTGGATAATTATGAAAATCGAAAACTTTTTTCAATAGAGATTTAATACGCTATTGAAAATATGATTAAGAATAGAGCAACAAATTCATCATGCTTTCTTAAAAGCATTATTAATTGTAAAATATTTGGTAAATATTTATTAAAAGCCGTCCTGTGTATTCCATCAACACAGTGTACAGAACTGAACATGTTTTAACCATCTCTCATAAACATATTTTGTTTAATAAATAATATCATTAGAAGCTATAAAATAGACAAATGTGAAACATTCAGTTTTCAAAATGATTCAGTAATAGAATGATGATATATATTTAACTTACCGATTTACTAATTTTACGTTTTATTGACGATTCAAGTCATTCATCAGATGTGACTAAATTTGGAAAAAGTGTGTAGGTGTGTTTATATGCTAAAATTTTATATGCTCAACTGCTAAAATTGAAAATAATTATATTATTCAAAATATAAATCATTAGGTACTTTTAATTTTCTCCGTTTGCAAAATAAATGCAGTAAAGCTGAGCTCACTTGCTTCAATGTACGTTATTTAAACATAACCCATTAATATTCAACGATATTTTCCAGAACTTCTCAATTAATTATTGGATTGATCAAGGAGCTCCGCCTAGAAAAATTGTAATGGGCATGCCATTATATGGGCAGTCATTTACACTGGCAGATTCGAAAACCAATGGACTCAACGCCAAGGCGCCAGGACCCGGAAAAGCTGGAGAATTCACAAAAGCTGCTGGATTCTTAGCTTACTATGAGGTAATGTGTTTATAATTCTAATGACATCAAATTAAACAGCTGAACTATCTATACTCATTTTTTTTGTTAAACACCGCAAAGTATTTGTACGCTTATTAATAAATTAATATTTCACTTGCTAATAATATTATAGATATGCGACAGAATAAAGAACCGTGGCTGGACGGAGGTATTGGATCCGGGCAAACGAATGGGTCCATATGCTTACAAAGGCGATCAATGGGTTTCCTACGACGATGTGGAAACTCTTCGACGAAAGGCGCAATTGGTTCGTCAACTTGGTTTGGGAGGTGGTATGGTCTGGGCTTTGGATCTAGACGACTTCAAGAACCGTTGCGGAGATGGACCGCATCCACTGCTCAGGGCGATCAGGAATACTTTACGTGATCCACCAGGCGTGCAAGACAAAGATCGTAAGATAAAAATAATAACATTCTTATTTTCTAGAGTAGCCCAGTAGTGAATATATATTAAGTGATAATATATCACTTAATTATTAATATAATTAAGTGATAGTGTGATCTAAAAACTTGATCTAAAAAGTAGTGAATATATAATTAGGTGATAGTATGATCTATAAAGCTTGATGATCACAATTTGTGAGAAATTAAAACACAGTGCAGTGACGACCGTTAAAAGCACCGACAAAAATTAAATTGAGTAATATGTATGCAAACTTTTATGCTTTTATGAAACATTTTATAATAAAAGTAATGATTTTTTATAAAAAGCAGACTAAGCTGTTGTTCACGGTTCTGCAAAATATCAGATTCTGTATTTTACATCGTATTCGCAACGGGTAAGGGTTTCAGCTTCTCTCTTGCCTAAAATTGAACTGATGTTCTCTGTAGCCAACTAAATAATGAAAATCATTTTTGGTTTGCAGAAAAGCGAAATTTCGCACGACATAACAAAACGACTGTAAGCTAAAAGATTATGTATGTAAAGTGGTCTGATCATATCTCTATCTCACTATCACCAACTTTATCTAGAACATGTTTCATGTTGCGCACCCTAAAACCCAAACTCGGTTTAAATTGCTTACTTTCAGTTTATTACAGCAACTTTTATTCTCACGTATCCTACGGCATCCAATTCTGGGGGTTTTCATCCGAATTAATTAAAATATTTAAGCTTCGGACAAGAGCTATACGAATAATTTTTTCCTTGCCCAGTAAAGCCTCCTGCAGACCCATATTTAAAAAACACAACATTCTAACTGTCCCATGCATTTTTCTGCTGGTAACATTATCTTTCATCAAAAACAATTCGAAACTTTTTGATATGGCTTTGTCCTCCTCAAATTACAACACTAGACACAAACTTACTAAGGCGCTCACATATAAATTAGCCAGCTCTTTCCATGCGATCGACGGCTTAGGTATTCAGCTTAAACTTCCACTCAATATCCGAAACTTAGGCAGCAAAAAATTTCATGCTTCCCTAATTAAACTTTTTAAAGAATTAGCTTTTTATGACATTACTGAATTTTCTCACTTTGAATTCAATAACTATTTTCTTGCATAATCCTTATCCCTTATCTATGTAGTCTGACCATTTGATCGCCTGTGCAACCATGTTTTTTATTGCTATTTTATTAATTTGAATTTTTACGGTTTTGAATGAGTATAACTTTCAACCTTGTGCAAGAATTTTGAGCTTGACTAGTGGTCAAATAGACTTTAATATGATGAACTTGATGATGAACATTGTATTTGATGTTCGAATGCTTTTTTAGCTATTTTTTTCAGAAGCGAAATTCGTGCAGCTACTATGATTATTATAAAATTACTATACTTTTAATATTAATTATGAACAAGCTTGGCAAGAGCCTGAAATAATATCTATTATTATTGATTACGGCTTGCTTATGAATAAATAAATAAATAAACACTTTAAATTTCGAAGTTATCGAGTTACAGAAGTTTTGTTTCAAGATATATAATTTGAGAGATTTTATATGATTTAGAGACCATGATTTGGATAAATAATGTATGGCAAAAAATAATAATTTGAAAGATATAGATTTTTTTATACAAAACGAAAGAAATAATTTTTGTATTTTAGAAAACATTCGGAATTAACAAGATTATTTGTAAAATGAAATGTATGTTGGAGTTTTATACGAATTTCAGCAATGTTATTGCTAATTTATATAATAAAAATTGTATTCTTGATCACATACGTATAGTGCATAAAATAAATTCTTTTTCTTTTCCAGCTTCTCAGGCTATCACTGCCATTACCACACCCAGACCGGTCATTGTTCCTAGCAAACCCATGTCATCCCGACCATTTGACGAGCAAAGACTGGAAGAGGATTTCAAAGTAGTGTGCTATTTCACAAATTGGGCTTGGTATAGACAGGGCGGAGGAAAATATCTTCCTTCTGATATTGATAGCGATTTATGTACGCACGTCGTTTATGGATTTGCAGTTTTAGACAGTGGCACTCTTACGATCAAACCTCATGATTCTTGGGCTGATTTGGATAACAGTAAGTTGGAATTAAATACTAAATGTAATAAAAATGAGAGTAACATCCGTATATTTTTCCTAATGTTGTCAAAAAAAAATTCTCGAGTCATTCAATTTCTGAATCATCTTGCAGAATCAAATTTTCATGTAAAATAATCAGTGTCTTTGTTCCATTCAATTAGAATTCTACGAAAAAGTTGTGGCGCTGAAATCAAAGGGTATCAAAGTGACATTGGCAATAGGTGGCTGGAACGACTCGCAAGGAGATAAATATTCTAGATTAGTTAATAATCCTTCAGCACGCCAGAAATTCGTAGACCACGTCACAGACTTTATCGAAAGATACGACTTTGATGGATTGGATCTTGACTGGGAATACCCAGTATGTTGGCAAGTAAGTGACAGCAGTATATAAATTAACGCAAATTTTTTATGACTTCAAAATTGGTTTGACTAAATGTATTCAATCTACGGTTAGAAAAACTATAATAGAAATGATCTCATGTTGGTAATCTTGGTTCTAGTACTCTTCATATTTAAATAAACTGCTTTCATTACTCACAAATGTGTATGAATCAGGACAAAAATATCTACAACTATTCAATTGCCGTTTATATATCAAATTATATATTTATATTTAAGGTGGATTGTAAGAAAGGTCCGGCATCAGACAAACAAGGTTTTACTGAATTGGTGCGTGAATTATCAGCCGCATTTAAACCGCGTGGTCTTTTGCTCTCGACCGCCGTCTCGCCAGCTAAAAAAGTTATAGATTCTGGTTACGAAGTTGCAGAATTATCTAAATTATTCGACTGGATCTCAGTTATGACCTATGACTTCCACGGACAGTGGGATAAAAAGACTGGCCATGTCGCTCCTATGTATGCCCATCCGGAAGATAGCGATTTAACATTCAACGCAAACTTTTCGATCAACTATTGGTTAAGTCAAGGCGCAGATAGGAAAAAGATAATTATGGGAATGCCAATGTATGGTCAGTCATTCTCTTTAGCAGATAACGCAAATCACGGATTGAATGCACCGACATATGGTGGAGGCGAGGCCGGTGAAGCAACCAGAGCCAGAGGTTTCCTGGCTTATTACGAGGTAGTTTAATAAAAGCTTTTTTTTTGTTTGACAACATAAAAACAGCTTTGCTTCTAAACATCTGATCAGAAAATTTCAATTTTTTTTAGCTATTTACCTTAAGGCACGATACGTGCTTTACCATTTGAAAATTAAATTCATATATTGTATTTTTTATAGCATATACACGCATTTTGTATGTACTGATCATCATAAAATAATTTATTAAATACAAAAATATTTATTTAGCAAAATGTGACATAACTTGTTGGAAGTACTAATTATATATTTTCTAGATATGTAAAAACATAAGAGAGCGTCATTGGCATGTCGAGCGCGATCGGAGAGGACGCATGGGTCCTTACGCATATTTGCGTGATCAATGGGTCTCATTTGACGATGTTGATATGATTCGTCATAAGAGTGAATATACTCGTGCCATGGGGCTTGGTGGTGCCATGATTTGGGCGCTTGATCTCGACGACTTCCGTAATAGATGCGATTGTGAAGAATATCCATTGTTGAGAACAATAAACCGCGTGCTACGTGGGTACCCTGGCCCAGCACCCAGATGCAAATTGGAAACAAATACAGAAATTGATTCATCTTACAAGCCAACGACCAGTAGGCCGACAACCACCACTCAATCTTGGCAAAGACCTACGACAACCACAGAAGGTTGGCAAAGGCCAACAACAACCAGAAAACCAGACATAGTTACTCGCCCACCTCATGCAGGTACGACTGCTTCTGATGTAGAAGTTATTGGAGCATCTCAGGCATGTAAAGGACGTGTTTTTGCACCTCATCCGACTGACTGCAACAAATATTACCTTTGTACCTTCGGCGCACCACAAGTAAGTAATTTATTAACTCAGTTACGAAGGGGTATGTATAGCAATTGAAATCAAATGTAGGAATATTCATTGTAAAAGTACATAGCAAAATCTGTAAAAAAATTAATGTGATATTATTTCTGCTGTTATCAGCATTCAACTATATTTCAACGAAACTTATATATCATCTTTACAAAATGAGTAATCGTTGACTAATCGACGCCATCAGTAATGATACAAATTTATAACCTTATGTGGTCAATTATTATCGCTCTCTGCCAAATACATAAATCACAAACATACAATATAATATTTAATGATTGGGCATGATATCAAAATATTTTAATTGGGTTTATATATTGAATAAATTAATTATATAAAAACAATACTATACTAATTACATTACATAAAATAGTTTATACTTCTGGCTTATAGAAAAACTACACTTGTAAACTTTTATTAATAATTTTATAGTTATAAATAATACTTTAAAATATTATACATATATAAGTTGTTGGACATATTATGTGAACTAAAGTGTAAAATATTGATTTATAAGCATTCAATTATGATATATTTATTTTTATGATTATTTTTCAAAAAATCTTTAAATCGAGTTGAATGAGAATGCTAAGACGTTTCACAATATTATGTTATATTTAGGAAATCAATTTTCTTTTTTTCACTCTAATACGTGATGCTCTCCAATAATGCAATTAACTTTATTAACACCTTTGTGTTCGAAATATATCAGCAATAATCAATTATAAAGCTATAATTCTATAGTATATATAAAGTATAAAATTAACTTAGTGAAGTAAAAATTAATTAAAAGTATATTTCAAGATTACTATTATTAATTTCTATTAAAAATTTATAAAAACAGTTGTTAAGTTGTCCCCCGGGATTGTATTGGAACCATGACCGTTGTGATTGGCCACATAATACAGATTGCACAAATGAGGTGGAATCCGAAATTGAAGAGCAAGTGCTTGTAGAAGAACCAGATGAAGAAATGCCTATAATTGAAGAAGAAAATGAACCTGAGATGGATAACGAACACGTCGCGACATCAACTACCAAAAAGCCTTTGGAGATGGAAGTTATAGAACCTGTGTTTAAACCAGAAGTTGAAGGCAATTTTAAAGTCGTATGCTATTTCACGAATTGGGCTTGGTACCGCCAGGGTGATGGAAAGTATACACCCGACGATATTGATGACAGTTTATGTACTCACATTATTTATGGATTTGCGGTACTGGATGCCGAAACTTTAACTATCAAACCATATGACACATGGGCCGACCTTGATAACAGTGAGCAAAGATTTTTTTTCAATTTTATCATTTAAATTCCTGCTTTAAAAGGCGTTGTTTCCTGATAACTTTGCTTTTGCATACCAAATTCGACAAATAAAAAAAGGAATTTAACACCGATAAAGTTAATAAATAATTTGTGATTTAATTTTCTAGAATTCTATGAAAGAGTAGTCGCCCTTCGAGCTAAAGGTATCAAAGTGTCCATAGCCATAGGAGGATGGAACGATTCGCTGGGAGACAAATATTCTCGTTTGGTGAACAATGCCATGGCTCGGCAAAGATTTGTTACGAATGTTATCGAATTTATACAAAAATATAAATTTGATGGATTAGATTTAGATTGGGAATACCCTGTATGTTGGCAGGTATGTTTATCAAAATGACTGTCATATGCTAATAAAATTCAGTGTCACCAAATTACGATTTACAAATTGCTGTATATTCCAAATCAAAAAGATTAAATCTAAAGACCTAAGTATTATATCAATATCTAAAAGATTATTTTGAGATTGTCTACTAAAGTTTATATTTTACGTATTATACATTTTTTGAAATTTTAGTTTACATAAGTCGGAGAAAGTATATAAATTAGGCATATTTCGACAAATTTATTACACCTAAAATAATTTTATGAGTGAAATAATTTCAGCTTATACTCTACATTCTAAAGCAAATGCCTCGAAATTAGGCAATCATTTTATTTAAACTTTTCAATCTCTAAAAGCAGGGGTATTAAACAAAACCTGCAAGCCATTTAGTTCTCTACTTTTTTGCTATATAATAATAGATAAAAAATATAACAATAACACTTATTAATAATGTTTTCAATTGCAAGAAAATTGTAAATATATATTCAGATTGTAATAACCGTTGAAGGTAAAGCAGCAAGGAATTATGTTTAATTTTCAAAATATATTATTCTATTATTTATTAATTATTTTATGACCCACTAATAGGCAGGCACTTGCAATAATGGATGCATATAATAAAAGAGCAAATATGTGTACAATATTATTCAGGATCAATATTATTCGTTTAGGTCAATTGCCAGAAAGGTCCGTCTTCTGACAAGCAAGGATTCACAGCTCTAGTTCGTGAACTTTCGAAAATGTTTAGACCACGTGGTCTGCTATTATCCAGCGCAGTGTCACCAAGTAAAATGGTTATAGACGCGGGATATAATGTTGCTGAATTGGCATCTCATTTTGACTGGATCGCCATCATGACTTACGATTACCATGGACATTGGGATAAGCACACCGGTCATGTTGCGCCGTTGTATTACTATCCAGGAGACAAATATGACTATTTCAATGCAAACTTTTCAGTTAACTACTGGATCGAGCAAGGTGCACCGTCCAGAAAATTGGTCATGGGTAAGAAATTTATTTTAAGTCTATGTAACAGTTAATTGATCACTCTGAGGATGTATGATGACAATATTTTTTTTTTGCAGGAATACCTTTGTATGGACAATCATTCACCCTAAGCGATACTTCCAATAACGGCTTGAACGCTGAAAGTACTGGAAGAGGAGAATCCGGTGAATTTACAAAAGCCGGCGGATTTCTTGCCTATTATGAGGTAAGTGCCAAAAACTGAATTCCATATTGCTGAATTATCTAAATTCTAAATTTAAATTGAATTCAGATCTGTGAAAAAGTCCACAAAAGTGGTTGGAATGTAGTACGAGATCCTGAAGGGCGCATTGGACCCTATGCTTATAAAGACAATCAATGGGTGTCGTACGATGACGTAGACGAAGTAAAAAGAAAAGTAAGCAAAGTTGTAAATATTTATTTTTAATTTATTTGGTAGTAAATTGGTAATTGCATTGATCAATATTTTTTAACCAACTGTTTAGTTTTCTAATCTCTCGAGTTATTTGTATCAGTTTTCACGAACTTTTGTTTTCATCAGCTAGTCTCTATAACCTCATGTTGAAATTTTCCAAAGCAGTTTAAACTACTTATTCATTTTCAACATATTGTTTAATATCTTCCTGAACTTATACTTTTTATTTCTAAAAAAATACAACAAAAACTTAAAACCACACGTAATGAAATACTATATTTTAGAAAAAGAATACATTGCACATTCACACTAAGAGATCAATTCTGCCATAAAATAGACCATTGGAATAGCAAGGTTAGGGTCATGTAGCAGTTTTCACATAAAATCGTACTAAATACTTGTAAAAGCAATATTATTGCTGCGCAGTCAGGCGTTTTAGACAGAAAACATAATCTAGGTTAGGTAATCGCATTAATCTTGGTTAGGTAAACGCAAAAATGTAAAACAAAAGATGTTATCATAACTGGATCTTTGTAATATAGTTTAATAACATATGAGTGAAGTTACATTTTATGTGTAAAACGCCTGATCGTACTGCAATACATTGGATTTTGACGGTATTTAGTACGATTTTGTATGAAAAGCACCACGTAACGGAGCCTTGCCATAACTTTGGTCTAATTTATGGCAGAATCCCACAAATTTCTGAATTTGCTCTGAAAACATATGATTATGCGGATTAACTGTAAAGTTGAATACAAATTTATTTATCAGTTACGTAATATATAATATTTATTTTCTTCAGTCTGCTTTGATAAGAGACTTGAGCCTTGGAGGAGGAATGGTCTGGGCTTTGGATTTGGACGATTTCCGTAACAGGTGCGATTGCGGCAAGCACCCACTGCTCAGAACACTAAATCAAGAACTTCGTGGACATGAAGAGATTATACTAGGAAACTGCACGTAGTGCTACTCAATTTTTCTAATTAATTACAATATTTTTAAGTTAATTATGTTGTGAACCAATAAATTCTTTCTCCGTTACATAAACATATTTATAAAATCATTAGTGAAATACTATGTACGAGAGAACTAATTTATTAAGATTTAACATTGTTTTGTGTATATTTAAAAATTATGTAATAGTAATAAATTCAACTTTTTATATATCAACTTGTTTACTTATCTTATTTTTACAACAAATTCAATACTTTTCATTTTCAATACAGTTGTTGATTCTAAAAAAAATACAAGCAATTGTAAATAATTTAAAAAGAAAACATGAATATTTATAGTCGACGTATTGAAGAACTCAATCGTTGAAGATTTTTGGTCCTAGAGAAAATGTGAAAAACGAATTGTCTTTCAAAAAACAAAAAAGCAATGGCATATACAACTTCTAATGATAATAAAATATTTCTTTCATTTTTTATAATTCTTCTATATTAAATTAAAATATTAACGTTGAAAATTGTAGTAAAAATGTGAAAATGGGTTACGATATTGATGCTATTCAATATTATTTAGCTATAAATTTTAGCCTTTTCACAAACAAATTTAAGATCAACTTATTTGAATATTTTTCTATCAAATATTTTATTTTAATTGTTGTTAAATAAACAATGATAATTTGATTGACACTTTAAAAATGTTGTTGACAAAACCATTTTTCTAGAGAGTATAGATACAAAAATAAAAGCATCAGTTTTTTTTATATTTGTCAGACAATATATTTAATTATACATCCCCCGTGAATTGGCAGTTAGACATATGGAATTTCAGTCAGTAGTCTCAGGTTCGACACTGGCATTAGACAGCCTGATGTGAAGCAATTGTGACATCAGATTTTACTTGGAAATATAGATAGAAAAGTTTTTCCAAGTGCTCCATGGCGTGACGGTTAAGCGCACTACCTAGTGTGAAATGATAAACTCCGCTCCGGCTTACATGCAGTAGCGATATCAATTTTCACTTAAAAATATAGATCAAAAATATGTTCCAAATGAAAATAACCCAGTTCGGGCACTGCGGTATAAAATGGCAATGGGGAGTTTAACTCACGAATCTGCCCTAGGTTAGTACTATCCATTATTTATTTTTATGTTTCGAAGTGAAAATAGCCATCTAGCAAACTTTACTGGTTTTATGACGTTGTATATCAGGAGTGATTCATTCGGTGGTTTATGTAAAAAAAACATTTTATCAATGATTCCGTTTTACTTTTTTTAAAAAGAACTTGTGGAAGCTTTTATTCCTTATCGACAGAAAACGGGCGATGTGACGCATAATTTTGACGCATCTCTCATTTTTATTTCAAATACATATATATTTAAGAACGAACGGGTGTGAATAACCAGTATTGTTTCTGAAACGACTTCATATAGTTTGCTTATTCCGAAAACATTTGCTTTGTTTATTAAATAATCGATTGTATTTGAAATTTTAGCTGTTCCACATTAAGCAGAAGAATGGTAAGTAGGTATTATATTTGTTATATTAAGTCGTAATATCTGAAGCACACAATGCATTGTTATTAGTGAAAAAAATTAAAAAACTATTGTTGATAAAATACTTTAATTTCCAGTTCATTATTTCATAATGTTTATTATTATTCAATATTTCAATGATGGAGTTAATATTATAATTACTAAATGTATATTTGGTGTGAACTACGATCGATAAGAATATAGTTCCAACATTTAATTATTGCATTATGTTTTTATAAGAAACATCATTCACATTTTGTTTACTCGCACTGACTCTATTCGAAAACTCAAAGAGGTAGAGCATAGTAACAAAAAATGATTATCGCATTGCCTAATATATTTGAATTATTTTCATGTAATCTCTGTTAAAATAAAAATTCTCAACATTAACAATATAACGACCAAATATATTAAATAGGTTTACGTTTTAATATTTCTATATGATTAAAAATTAATCTAAATTTATACTAAAAGCAATTGTAGGGTAGACTGCGTACGGTTGTGCCACAGTATGGTAGTGAAAGTTATTATAACAGCTAAACTATATTAATTTTGAGATAGGGTCCAAACTGAGAAAGTCGAAGTATGTTCGTTCCAATAAGTTCCCATTATTGCTTTCAGTCAGCACCTTACATCAACATGATATGCAGACCGCTTTTAAAGAGTCAAAAGAATGTTTCCATGTTCAAATTCATTCAATAAGAACTGTTAATTGTATACTCATATCTTTGTTTGTTATTTTGGTGTAAATTGAATATTAGTAGTTATTTACCAGCAATTAGTTTTAGCTTAGATAATTCAGTTCAGTCAATATCATGATTTGTTTTCAAAAGTGTACGTTGGGTACGATTGTGATAAATTATAAAAAAATCAAATAAAACATATTAAGAATGCAAATCTCGCATAATTTCTAGATTTGGCAAAAACTTCTAATATTGTAAATTCATTTACAAACGCCGAACTCTAATATTTATTTGCTTTAAAATTCTATCTAAAAAACGATATTTTGTGCCAAATACTAGAGATGAAAACAGACATTGAAAAATAGTTCACTAATACAACGATATATTACAATTTTCAGCATAGCAATGCAGACCTATTGTGTTCTGCAGTACTTCTATATCTAGTAAATACCATATATGCAACAAATTCAAATATTATCCCTGAGGTAATACAATTTAGACGAGATCATGTAGAATCTTCACCACGCAATACTAATTACATGAACAGGCTTTTTGACAAATTACATAGTCGCGAAGATGTCGAAGATGTCGAAACCACACTTCAAGAATCCTGGGAAATATCTAGGTATGTAGATCAAAAATACTAATCAATTATGATAATAAAAGTAGTAGTCAACTATCATTATATCAAAAACCTCTCTTAAGCTAACAGGACCAAAGTCTGCATAATAGATATGTACGTGCTACTAAGTACTTATTTTGTACCGCTAAGAGAAAACTTGTACCACATGTGATCGAAAATAATGCTCTATAGCTAATACAGAAATAGAGGATAAACAAAAATAATTATTATATAAATTAAAAAAATTAAGTTCAAATTTGGAAAAATGTAAATGACGATGTCCATCGCACACTGCCTGTCTTGTTTTATGTACACGTCTAAAATTTAGATTCTAAATCCTGTCGCTGAAATTTTTACAAAACTTTTAAATAATTTTTTTAAAGAATACTTGTGAATACAAGTTTAATGAAAAAACCATCGAATTACATTGGTTTTCTTTTGTTGCAGAGCTTTCAATAATATTTTTAAAGCAAGAAATAAAATTTTGCCAAACTTCACAAGTAATAGAAACTAAAATTACTTACAAATTTCATTAAAAAAAAAACAATGAATGCAATTATAGCGATCTTCAAGAATATGTTCCGAATGAATCATTTAAACACTAATTTATAAAGCATAACTAAAGAAACTAGTAAAACAGAAAATAGTGATAGATATTGCCTATTGAATGTTTAATTTTTTCATATGCCATAGAATAAAAATGTGTAATATTTAACTTATTTTATTTTGAAAAATATAGAAATTAATATAAATTTAAATCTATAAAATTTTTCTGGTATTTAATATTTGTCATTTAAAAAAAAGTAGAAGCAACTATTAATAAACTAAAAACGCTACGATATATTTTATAGCACACATATTTCGTTCTAAATATATATATATATATATATATATATATATATATATATATATATATATTATAATATCACAGATCTCAATAATATAATGTCACAGATTCCATTGTTCAATCACACAAGTTGTCAATTTAAAATTCACTATTTGTTTGTCCATGAATTACATTCTAATTTGAATTTTTATTCCCTTAGGAAATTTAATATTGCCAATGAAGTAATTTCTAATGAAGTGAGGCAACAAACACCATTAGTCAGTAAAGAAAAAAATTTAAATGAAGACAATAAACTGATATATGGACAAAGCAACAAATATCTAGAATTAATAAAATTGAGTAAGGATTCAAATAAGTGAGATATTTGATTTGTTATGATATTTAATTACAGTTATGTTTATATTTTAGATTATCCTCTTGTATCAAACCTGAACTTTAAATCCAATCAGAATGGACAACCGTACGTTACATTCAATTTTTTTAAAGACCTTATAATTACAGGTAAGTGATAAATAATTATTTAATTGTTTCTAATTTATTTTATTTTTAAGATAAACCGCAATTAATTTTGATTGATTGATTCCACAATTTCGAAAAACGTTTGACTCACATCACTATTTTATAAAGAAGTATTAGCTGAATATTTGTTTATTTAAAATTTGCAATGTAATATATTTCAAGGTTAATGCCAACGTCTTCGTCATTTTGAGCTCTAAGAAAAACAAAAGTTAAATATTTATCACAGCATGAATTGCCAGATAGCATTCGCATATATTGTTGCTAAAAAGATCTGTTTCATAAATAAATGTTTTATACGCACATACAAATATATATATATATATATATATATATATATATATCATAATGTTCGTCGCAAAACTTCTCCGAAACGATTTGACCGATTTCTATGAAAATTTATAATCGCGATCAGTATGACTAATAATGGGCAAACGCCTATTTTTCATATCTGTAAGTAGTAAGGGTTTTCCAACCCTAAAAATTCGTTTTATTTCTTTTTTTTATAATTTGTAATTAAAAACACATAGCCCTAAATTTTCATATGATAATAAACAGAAACAGATTATTGTTTATGTAGAAATAAAAATATAGTTTCTAGAGAAATTTTCCAGATAGCATATTTATTATAAACAAAACTTTCTTATCAACTTTTACAATAATAATATTGATTATAATATAATTTCATTTGAATTACATAATTGACAAATTATAATATATTTAATACTAAATAATGAGTGCTTGATGGAGTATAAGTTGCCGGCGGATATTAACATATACAAATATGAAATATTATAAAAAAAAGTTTCTTATCAACTTTTACAATAATAATATTGATTATAATATAATTTTATTTGAATTACATAATCGACAAATTATAATATATTTAATATTAAATAATGAGTGCTTGATGAAGTATAAGTTGCCGGCTGATATTAACATACATATATGAAATATTATTGTGATTCGTGATGATACTCTTCATGTAGATATTTTTCATTTGGTCTTATTCATCTTTCATTCTTAAAGTTTCTTCAAAATAAATGCTCTTGATGTACAATGGTTCAAATGTTATTGGTGTAGTTTACCTTGATGTTGATATTGGTTTTCTTTCTATAGATGTTTTTATGTTCTGATAATTTATTTCCTTGTTAATAAATTTGCAATGCAATAATTTTGCATTTGCAGTGTGGTAAAATTAAAATAAAATTTCCTCTAATGAAGTTTGATTCTTGTTGCTGGTTCCAATCAAAAACTGTATGAATTACTAATCTGCATCATTGTTTTTCTCTATATTATGTGTAACAGTTGCTAGGACATCTCTGCATTTCCTAAAATGTTTTTCATCTCGATACATTAAATTTATTGTGCATTCATCGCTGTTTTCAAATATATGTTTCATAGTGCCAAAATATAAAGTGACCATTTTACACTATTCTTCTTCAAATTGATAGTTTTTTGGGTTGCATGTGTGAGGAAGAATTAATAATTTCGTTGTCGGAATTAGGTACTAGGTATAAATGTTTGAAAACTTCTACTAATGTAATAGGAAATTTAATAAGAAATACAATTTTTTCATTTAAATAATAACACAAAACATTAATTAAGTAAATTATAATATTTGTGAATTTTGGTTTGATGTATGGAGAAGGGTAATGAAATTTTTTAATATAATTCTTTTACAATTTAGTCATATAAGTAATTCAAAATATCTAAATTAATAAGAGTTAAGAGCTATATTTATTCGAGCTAAGTGTATGGATATTTCTAAATTATTCAAAATATTTGTTAATATAATTAAATTCTAACTTATCTTTTCTACAGTACCTTTTGGCAACAAAACAACTATTATATTTATATATTAGGTTGTCAAATATCTCGGGAGATATTTGACAACCTAATATTTTGGTACAAAAGCAACTATTTAAATACTCATTTATATCTTCTATTTTTTTACTCAAAATTAATTCATTCTTGATATCAATTATTTTATTTTTAAAATAATGAATCAACTTATGACTAATAGTTATTTACTCAAAATTAATTCATTCTTAATATCCAATATTGTATTATTAAAATATTGAATCAACTTATGACTAATAGTTATTTGTTTGTTTGAAGTGTTTGCTAAGTTATTTTCATGATTTTGAAATATTTTGATCGATTTATCAATTTTTTTACAATCTTGTGCATCTAAATCATCCACTGCTTCCTATGATTATACTGCAAATATTCATCGTGCTTATTACTTAGTAATTGACAAAAATGTATTAAAATAGGAATTTAAATTATTAATGTGTAATTTGATTATATCAGTGTTTATATAATGCTTGATTTTGTGATATTTTATTATTTAATTTTGCGTTTCTTAATTGTTTCAACTGGAAGTCGTCCGTCGGTGTTCAATTCTTGGAAATATATTTCCTTTCATTTAAATAGAAATTAATTGTAGAAGTATTATGTGTATCAGCAAAATCGTTCTACTGTAAATTTTTTTGCGTATTAATTCGATGTCGTTTTAATTTTTGTTTATAAACTATTTGTCTATGTGATCGTGAAAATATAGTACATATTTCCTAAATCATCTTGCATGTTTAGATTTAAAACGCGATACAATTTTATCTCGAGGAATCAGATGCAAATATATTTGCAATGTATATATAAGAACATGAGTGTTTTATTTATATGGAAAGTGTTTATGTGACAATTCACTATGTTTATAGAACGAGCTGTGATTGTGTTGGTATATGTTATCAAATATTTTCTCATTTTATATTAGCTTTGCGCGCTTCTTATAGTCGATTAAATAATTTGTTAAAATTTTGGGTTCTAAATCTACATCATACGGTGATATCGTTAAAAAAATATAGTGAAATAATAATAAATGGTTGTAATTCAGTTATAGAATCTATTGTATTTATTGTAAAGTAATTTTTATATCTTTTGTATCGTTTAAGTACTTGAATATATTCTAAAGTAGTGGTATCTTTCAATGGGACCATTTAAATTTGGAAGCATGGATGTAGTGTAATATTATGAATACTAACAGTTTTTATGGATTTTTTGGGTATTCTTGTAAGTCAGAGGAGTTTAGATCTGGGCCATTGTCCATAATTTAAGTTTCTGGAACTCCAAAATGCGAAATAAAATTGATTCTTACAATATTTAGGGTAATGTTAGAAACTATAAACTTAGGATAGGCTTGAACACGTTTAGAAAAAGTATTGATTATTCCCTATGTATTACTTGAAAATAGGTTGGTGCAGTTGGAGTTATTGAAAGATTTTGTTGAGGAGAATTTTGATCATGTTTTTGAGTAGCACATAATAAACTATCCTAATCGTAACTAAATCTCGACCAATAATGTTTGGCTCTAAACCGTGTTTCATTCTCATTGATACCAAGATGATCAGTAGAACCATCCTGAAAAGTTTTAACTTTAACAATTAATTTTTGTTTGTAAGTTGTCTGTTTACTATTAATGGTTTGAACACCACTAATTATTGGTGACTAGTTACTGTGTTCCATAGATCTTGCGATTTGCTGATTCACATTACCACTTTGATTGACATTTGATTGTTGAAAATTTATATTATTATTTTGTTGGTTGAACAAGGATGGACGACTTCCTTTGGATTGATTATTATTGAAGTTGGATCTTGAAAATGTTGGTTTTGTTTCATAAAGTTTTGATTTTGTTGTACAGGTGAATAGTTATGATTCTTAATACTCTTTTTATGATTTATTTTACTATTATTTTGATTTGCGTTCTGAAAGTTAAATGTTATTTCAAATATGATTTATATTATCATATTCAGAGATAATTCTCATTGCTTCAGCCAGAGAGAAAACTTCATGATGTCTTAATAATGAGCTATAAGGTTGCTTGACACGAGCTGTAAAAAGAGCTAGTGCACTCCTTTGAAATCTGTCGCACCTGTCATTCAAAATATCTTTATTCGTAATATGTAAATACGTATAGTTATTAAAAATGCTAATAAGTTTTTCAAATCTTTTATAAAATTCGTAAACCGTTTCATTATTACCTTGACGCATATTAAATAAATCAAAGCAAAGAGAAGTATCATCCCTCCGATCAGAAAATTTAGAAATTAAAACAGTTATAATGTCATCTATTTCCCTTACGTTCGCAGTGTCTACGACTAGTTTTGCCCTGCCATACAATTTAGCCAAAATTGCGTTCTTAACTATTTTGTTTTGAACACACGTTGTATTCTCTCTATCATAATATTCATTTTTTATTTTTCTTACTTTAATAATGAAAGAACTTAACTCTGACTGGTTACCTCCGAAACGCGTAATAGTGTGGATCAACTTTTTATCAAATTTTGGAAAGTTTTGTACAGACATTTTTGATAAGTTTTCTAGCAAATTTTCTATGTCAAAATTACTACCACTTTCCATAAACAAACTCTCATGAGCGGAATAATTTGAGGGAAGTGTTTATAATTTATATCAAATTAGAAGTTCATTCACAAAAATCTTAGAAAAAATCATAAATTGCATTACTTATCTTCAGGATTGGGTATCTGAGGATTGGTAGGAGTATTTTATCAATTTTCTATCCAAAATAGAATTAAATGGTGTCACTCCCGTCTTGATGGTTTTTATTTCTTCGCGTAAATTCAATTTGTCACACCTTTTGCACAATTTTTCACTTTTCTCCACTTTTCTTATTTTTTTTAGTAATAACTCTTAATCACATTTTCTTCCAAGGATTCCAGAGTTACATCCTACAGCGTATTATTTATACAAAAAAAAATTTCTTCTCGACTTTTATAATGATAATATTAAAGCTAAACCAACTGAATGGTAAAATAAGAATTACGTTGTATGAATTATAATGATGGTTATCTCCAGTTCTGAAGATCTGTGTTTAATTATGTTACTTCAACAGCTTGGTGAATGAAAATATCGCATAACTTTTATATAGACCTGCTATCTATAGTTTGATTTAAGAACTTAAATTCAAAAACTAGTGAAAATTGAACTGAACAAAAATATATTGTAAAAATAAATCCATTAAATAAATAATTATTAAAATTATCTTAAATAACTTTTGATATAAAATATTTGATGAAATCGCATATGAAAAAGTAAGGTTATTGATATTGATCAATATCAATACAAGGTCAAGTTTGTCAAATTGATATTTGATCACAGTTCAAAAATTGAGCAACACCCAAATTGTACCGGTGATTACGCATATAATATAAATATACATAATAATTAAGTTTTGTTGGAAAAATTGTATTTATTGCAATACGAGCAGGTAACGGATCTTAACTTGACTATAAAATGTGCATATATATATATATATATATATATATATATATATATATATATATATATATATATATCATACCGTTCTGAATCGAATGAAACCAAATTTGGAAAAAGTATGTATTGTGTTGTGTACGTGAGCCTATTTCTATCCTTTTGTCGACGTTTACTCAAAAACGGCTGGCCGGATTTCAAAAATTTAAAAGCCATCCGAAGTAACTCGATAAGGAATAGCGTTTATCAGTGTGCTACTATCGGTCAAGCCGTTTCTTTGTAATTAACAGGAAAGTGTAAAAATTTTTGTCCACGTTTAAGCTAACAAATCTTAATCGATTTTAAATTCAAAAACTATTCGAAAGATATTGATTAGGAATTAGTTGATTAGTTTATGTTTAATATCGGCTGGGGCGTTTCTTCGTTTTCAAATGTTGAAGAAAATTGTTTCTACGATTTTTATGGAAGTTTGTACAACGATAGATTTTGTAGTCAGAAGTACCATACTAAAATATTACAGGTCTACGATAAGCGGTTGAATTATAAGAATTTATCAAAGTTTAAAGTTTCGCCGTGAGCTGGAGCGATTCTAATCAGAATTTATGCCGAAGCATAGCACGTTTTGTGGTGTTTCGTAGATAGCTACCAATTACAGTTGACGTCCACAACTTCTTAAAATAATTGTGTGTGTGTGTGTTTGTTTGCGCTTTCGGTTTTCTAAACAAAGTTTAGATAAATATTATACATTAAATATATTAGTCACAAGCTTATACGGCGAATGAAAATAATCAATAATAATAATTATTGTTTTTATTCGTCGCGTTGGATTTTTTATTATGACTAATGAATATACTTATATACAAGATATAAATGAATTTTGGTTTTTAATAAATATTCCCATATATGTATACAGAATTTGTCTTATGCTTGCTCGTCGCCCTTGCAAGGCGACTTTATATGGGTGTTCTTGTACCGGCAGCGCATGTATTAGCTTTAGTTTTTACAACTTTTCACCACAAAGTTCCACCTACATTTAAATGAATTTTTGAATAACAGAACAAAAATGTACAGGATTTCGAATTATGCTAATTTAAAAGTAGTCCACAGAGCCACACTGGTAGAAAATGGAAAATAAAAAATCATTTTTACCTTTTCACGCACTAACAAATAATTTTTTCACATTATTTGTTATAAACAACATAGACAAGATCAGTATAAATAGAATGACGTTAACATTTTTTCGATATCTGTCATCTCGGCCAAATGATGAGCTACGAATTTGAGAATTTGGATTTCGAATTTTCTCAAAAAGACCTATAAAATGGCATCAAAATCATTTAAATACCAGGGTAGGGCCGATTCTGTATGGAAACACGCCCATACCGTTTATTTTTTAAAGTACATAGTTATTTTCCATTCTGTTTTAAGATAGCAGTGACGCCGATCCAATGTTACGGACAAAAGGAAATGATTTTAAAGTAATTTGTTACTTTACAAATTGGGCTTGGTATCGGCAAAGAGATGGAAAATATACACCAGATAATATTGACGCCAGTCTCTGCACCCACATCGTATATGGTTTTGCAACATTAGATTCATCCACCTTAACAATGAAGCCATTTGACACTTGGGCAGATCTTGATAACAGTAAGTATATATGTATCTACATTTTGGAATGGATTTATTTTCTACAATATCGACTTTAATGGACATTCGCCTTATTACTTTTGTGAAAATCATTTGCTGTATATCTTGTCTTATTTTTAGACGTATAGGCCAACTTAAAAGACATATATGTCTGAAACTATATATATGTCTATAGCAAATACGAGTAACTATGCTTAAGAATATACTAAGATAGTTAAATAATATGTACTTTAGCATTATTATCCCACCGAGAGATTTAAAAAAATGACCAACAAATAGGTTCAAATGGTCTCAATCAGTTGATAAATTTTACTTTTAAATCACTCATGTATTATGTTCTAGTTTGCACTTATCAAAACTTTTATAAGTTTCAATGATAATGTAGCATTGACCTCAAAATTTCTGAACTCTCAGTACTTAATATTTCATTTATCTAATGTTAATTAAATTCTATTTTTCATTATCTAATGAATGCTAGAACTTGAGTATAAACTTCTAGATATGTTATTAATGTATACAATATACTTTTATCTATCGCAGAGTTTTATGAAAAAGTAGTGTCACTGAAAGCAAAAGGTGTAAAAGTTTCAATAGCAATTGGGGGATGGAATGACTCGCAAGGAGACAAATATTCACGTCTAGTCAATAATGCTGATGCTCGGAGAAGATTTATAACAAATGCCGTTGAATTTCTCAAAAAGTATCAATTTGATGGATTAGATTTGGATTGGGAATATCCAGCTTGTTGGCAGGTATATTATATAAAATATTATCAAAATTTTATCAAGCATTTCTTATGAAATGTTATTGGTGCAATAATTTTTTGTTGTATATTGGCTATTATTGAATAATATTTTTTTTAATTACAATATTTCTTACAACTGTTAATAATTTAACATCTAGTAACAATGACAAAAAAAAGATAGTATTTTCAACTGAATAATATGATATACAAATTTAATAGAGTTGTTCGGGAAATATATAAACGCAAAAAATAAAGTTTTTTAACAATCTATTACATTTCAAAAATATTTAGAGAGTAGTACCTCTACAGCATTTTCATTCTTTTCTAAAAGGACGTTTTTTAAACAATTGTATAAAGATTCTAAATAGATGATACGATTTTGTTAGATATTTTGAACAGATTGCGATAATGGTCTTGTAATTCTCAGTAATTTCCAACTAGATACGTTGAAACAATCAACAATTTTGAATTTGATCTTACGCGAAAAATATTAATACTACATCAAGTGTGTTTTTGAAATTATTATTATAAAGTATTGTTTAAGTAGTTTCTAATATAATAAATAAAATTAGTGGTGCATGGCATCGTGCCTTAAGGCAAATTGCTGAAATTTTCTGTACCTTAATTCACAGTTTTTTAAAGCTCAAAAAAGAAAAATTAGATTTTTTTGTGAATTTTGATCTTTTTTAAAAATTTTGAAAACATTTGAACAATTTGAATATTGGAAGAAATGAAATAAACCATTTTTCAAGAATTATGAAATTTTTGAGTTTGAAATGAAATTATACAGTTTTTTGAAAATACCTACTATTTTAAAAAAAAAATTATTTGTTTTAAAAACTGATTTTTTGAATATTTTTTTTAAATTTTGAATATTTTCAATTTTCTTGAAAGTTTTTGATACTCATTCAAGTTAGTTGATTCATACTGTCGAAAATATCTAATTTTCGACCGCCAAATAGCATTATTTCAATTTTTTTTCTGGATCTTTGAAACTGTACCTATCTTTGCAAAAATAAATCAATTCTTCATTTCGTCATTACAAGTGAAATGTTTTTTGTATTTTTCAAATCGGATCTTTCCGCTCCGTTTTCTCAAAAACATAATTGCCATTTTCTACGCTCTTTGCTTCGTATCTCCGAAACGACTGGGCCAACTTCTACCAAAACCTGATCAGCACGTCTCCTCATCCATAGGAATCGAATGTTTTTTTAATAATTCAAATCGACTGATCCGTGCTCCCAAAAACGTTGACAAAAAATGTCTTCATACATACGCACACACACATACATGCTTCCATTTTCTCTAAGGTATGCCAAAATGCTTAGAAGCTTTTGAACGTAAAGATATGCAAAAATTTCATTTTCGAAATTTGGGCAATTAATGTAACTTACCCTACAGGAAGTTAAAATAAAAAAAAAATGATGTACAGGGTAACTGCAAAGGAAGTAATCCATCAGATAAGCAAGGTTTCACCGCATTTGTAAAAGAACTGTCTGCTGCACTTAAGCCTCAGGGTTTTCTGTTGTCCAGTGCTGTTTCGCCCAGCAAGAAAATTATAGACGCAGCATATGATGTTTCCGAAATAGCCTCATACTTAGATTGGATCGGAATCATGAGTTATGATTATCATGGACAGTGGGATGGAAAAACAGGACATATTGCTCCATTACTTCCTTATCCGGGTGATCAGTATGATTATTTTAACGTCGATTACACAGTGCGATACTGGATTAAAAAGGGAGCGCCACCTGAGAAGCTGATTATGGGTACGTGGGTTTTGTCAAGTAATTTTATTGGCTCAGTGGAAGTTGAAAATTTAAAAAATGGTTAACTAAACGCTGAAGTGGGCATAAGCATTTTAATTTAATCAGTTTAACTTATCAATAAAACCTGACGCATTGTTATTTGGCGGTTTGCGACAGAATTAATAGATCGAATATTTTTAAAACAGTCCTGCTTATACAGTAAATATAACCATAATCAGTACATTTACTCCGTATTGCTCAATTTAGTTTAGAACTATACCTGACTTTCATGCTGTTGTTTTTGGTACTTTTTTATCTTTAGTAAAAGGCGAAAGATTTATTCGCTCTGGAGGAGAATCAGAGCGTTTGTGGTATTTTCGGTATGGAGCCGTTCAAGTATTATGTAAGCACTATAGGGGGCGAGGCGATTTGCTTATTTTGGATTGACGTGGGGGCAGGGGATTTTTATTTTTTTTACCGAATGGCAACCTTACATTGTCTTTGCCAGTACCAAAAATTTAAAATAAGTTTGTTATGTTCGAAATATTATAATAATTTTGTTACTTTATGTTGAATACCATATCAGTAAAATCACTACATCCTAAACCTATTTTCTCATTTTTAAAATTATAATTATAACCTAATAATTACAATATTTAAAAAAAAAACAATCCATTAATTGCAAAATGTTTACGTAAGCATGGGGGTAGGGGTAAGAGCTTTGCTTACTGTTGCTGACAAGGGGGATGGGGGGGGGGTAAATAATTGCAATAAATCTGCTTACGTAATACTTGAACGATCCCTATCGCGCTCTTATTTTATTATATTTAAACACATTTTTAGAATTCACTTCAACACAATTGTTTTTTCTTTTACTTATTTGCATATGGTTCATATTGTATTTGTAATTTTAAATTTATTATTGTAATTTTCAGTATTATTTCAGTAATTTTAATATTGTAAATTAATTTATGAAATTTAAATTTAAATTTAATTTAAATAATATCCTATATTATTAGGAATACCAACATACGGCCAATCATTTACATTGAGTAATCCTTCAAATAATGGCATTAATGCGCCAAGCAATGGCGGAGGTCAACCAGGAGAATACACCAAAACCGCTGGCTTTCTTGCATTTTATGAGGTAAGTTCTTGAGTCTAAATCTAGAGAAATCTAATTAAATAAATACAATATCTGTATAATAAACAATATTCGATTTGTGTAATATATAAATATTCAAGAAAATTATATATAATTATATCATAACACATAGATTTGTGAAAATGTACACAAAAATGGATGGAAAGTTGTTCGGGATCCTGAAGGACGCATTGGACCTTATGCGTATAAAAATAACCAATGGGTTTCCTATGATGATGTTGACGAAGTTAAAAGAAAAGTAAGTCAACTTTTTATTAATGGCTATTACAAGACAACATAATGGTTATTATAGTATGTTCTTGATCTTTATATTTATACTCTTGGAAAGGCTATTTTCACTTTGAAACAAATTTATTTTTTATGATCTGAAAATTAAGAAGTTATGGAAAATTTGATCACCATTGCCTTTTTGTCCTGATAATTTTACAAATCTTACAATTTGATGTTTTTTCATCTACTAAAGGCTTCAATAAAATTAAATATTCATAAATTGTTTTCAAATATATACGCATGTGCATATATTATTATTGCAGTCCGCATTAATAAGAGAATTAGGTCTTGGAGGAGGTATGATTTGGGCACTGGATTTAGATGATTTTCGCAACAATTGTGGTTGTGGAAAGAACCCGCTTTTGAGTACTTTGAGTGAAGAAATGCTTCGATCAAAAATTAGTAATACTAAAAACTGCACGTAACAAAACTTTTTTTGCCACTTTTTTTGCCACTTTTTATGATGTCATGTATGTTTCTAAATATTGCCCGCTTAAAGTTATAATTATAATCAATAAAATATTTTTATTAGAATATAATTTATATATTATATCTATACTATACTTTATTTCAATGTAATATTTTGTTTTAATTTACATTAGACTGCTGCCATTATCTTTTAATGTAAGTTATAAGTTAAAATATTCAATATTGCTCATTTTTTATTATTACACGTTATTAAATACAAACACAAGTCTAATACATACACAAAAAATTTCTTAAAGCGCGTCCTATCAATCTAAATTTTAATTAATTTTTATAATTAAACACTTTTCGTAGCACTAAGGTTGGGGAAAAAGAAATCCATTATTTTTTCGGTAGATGGCTGTAGTGATCGATATCTCGTAAATTATCGATCAAACAATTTCAAATTTATGCACGTTGTCAAGGTAACAGTTCGCACTAAAAGAATTCGTTTGCAGTTTTTTGTTTTGTCCATTCAGTTCTGAGTTACACGGCGTTAAAGATGGAAGTCAACAAAGAGAAAATTCGGTACATTTTACACTTTTTCTTTGATAAGGGCGAAAATGCAAGTCAGGCGGCTGAAAATGTGAACAGTGTTTATGGTCCCGATACTGTAACAGCTAATTACGCGCAATTTTGGTTTCGTCGATTCCGTTCGGGTATTTTTGACGTTAAGGATGCCCCTCGCACAGACAGGCCCGTCGTCGAAAATGTCGACAAAGTCACTGAAATCATCGTCATTCAGATATCTATTGTCAACAACTGGACCGTCTGAAGCGAGCAATTGACCAGAAACGGCCAGAATTGGCCAACAGAAGAGGTGTCGTGTTCCATCAGGACAACGCCAGGCCACACACTTCTATAGTGACTCGTCAGAAACTCCAGGAGCTTGGTTGGGAAGTTTTGATGCATCCACCATACAGTCCGGACCTCGCACCAAGCGATTACCATCTTTTTCTTGCATTGCAAAACTTTTTTAGTGATAAGAAATTGGCATCAAGGGAAGAGTGTGAAAATCAATTGCTGGAGTTTTTCGCTAATAAGGACCAAGACTTTTATGAGAGAGGCATAATGAAGCTACCATTAAAATGGCAACAAATTATAGAACAAAATGAAGCATATTTGACCTAAATCGGACAATGCAAAACATGTTAAATAAAGTCTTGAAGTTCACGTAAAAATAATGGATTTCTTTTTCCCCAACCTAATATTTACATACCAAATAAATTTCTCTAGTTAAAGACATTTATAGTAGCACCAGTAATCTTTTTCCTCCCGGTTGAATCGCGCTGTGTCTGTTGTGTCAAGGATACAAATAATGATGGCTGCGCATTTGGATTGGCAGCTCAACCAAGAGCAGATCATTGAGAAATACCTCACAATTTGTGCATTATGCGAACGACTCTCAACGAATGGAGTACAAAGTTCTCTCCTCGTCGTAATCGTCGTTCATACGATTTTTTACCCCGCATTTTATTATTTTCATAATACAAACTATAATACAAGAACTACAAGAAAGGCAATATTGAGAATATCGTGAAAAAATGCTAAAGGCCACCTTTTAGTTGATCTTTTTGTGTATACCTACCAAGCATTTTATCCATGTGTACTTCATTTTTCTTCAATGTGCCAACAATTGTCAAGTTCCAAGATAGTAAAAATTTTGCCAGTGGAAAACTAGTGAAGTAATCATTCACTGTAATTTTTCTACCAAATCCTTTATATGGTGCCACCAAGTCTTTGGCGACTCTTTTAACAAGGTCTTTCTCACAATCATCTTCCGATTTCCCGGTGTAAAGCTGTCCAGTAAGTGGATACGAACTTTCAGCAACACATATCCACCATACTTTAATTCAGAGATACATAGTAAATCTATTTGAACCTCGGTATGGATAAAGTTGCTCGTCGATTGTCATGTTTTCTGTTGGCTTATAATGTTTTGCTAAATTACTGTACAACATTGTCCAAATGTCTCGTATTGGAGCAGCTTTATCACTTTCCAAAGGCTGAGCTCGCGTATTAGCATCATCAGATCGAATAAAACAAATAATATTCCGGAAGCGACCGATGTCCATTGCTGCGCGATACAATAGATATGAATACGGCTGGCATATTTCTCTCGCATTGTCTGTATTTGAGATATAGGCGCCAGAAGTTATCAAAATAGCCAAGAATGCATAAAATTCCTGCAGCCCAAAATTTTTCCACTCCAATTGTTTTTTTCTGTTTTTTTTTTATTAAAATTTGCATATATTGAAATTGCTTTTTTTATCGGTATGACATATAATGATATCAGCCATTTCTGGTGTAAAAAATAATTTAAATGTATCTAGATTTGACAGCAAGTTGATGTTCCTATTAGCTTGATGTTCTCTTAGTGATGTCGCAGCCCACTGAGTACCATCTTTTGCTGTCATTCCTGATCCCGTCGCTTCTACTTCACTTTCTTCATTTTTATTTTCTTCGTCTTCATTATTGACTTCTATTTCATCACCTGTTATGCAAAAAGTACATAATTGATATAACACAAAATACATTATAATTATCAACACGACACAAGAAAACAGAAATGTTAATTACCAGTAATATAACAATCTGAAGCTGCCGTCTCACTCTGAGAAAAATATTCATCGTCACTACTATCCAACACGCAGTCATCATCAGATTTTTCTGCCTTGAATGTTACTTCCATGTTTTCATTTCTCCGAGAGTGAGTGACTCTACTGTATTTTTTTAATAGTGAAAACATAAAATAATTTACCTGAAAATAAAACAAGTAAATCTCGCCTTACCGTGGAAAACTCGATGAGTCATTACATTTAGGTTTAATATGATTTTTATATTGATAACAGTAAGTTTGTATGTTTTGTTTTCACTTTAACACTTACGGGACGGTGCCGATTTCAAAACAATCTACTGTACCTTGAAAGACATACACTTATAATATTACTTTATTTTTGATCATTTTATAAAGAATGCTGACGTTCAAAACAATTTTCAAAATACATAGCTGGTTGAATTCGCATTCGCATTTAGAATATGCCACTGATTAGTCAGTATATTTGTTCATTTTTTTGCTGCCATAATGGTTTGTTTTCCCTATTATATTGTCTAATAATTCATTTGTAAAATATAAAGTAAAATAATCTATTGGATGTCTTATATTGCTTGGTATTTGTAGCCGGGGTGTATGTCAAACTCGATTATTGAAGGAGAATCTGCACATTCGCTAATGTCTTTCCACTCTTCATTTAATTTGTCGAACTTCTTCTTTTTGTTGGTTGGATAATAGCATCATCACATTCATCACTATCTTCGGTGCTAATAGTAATTTCGTAAAATTTGTCTGTATGAATGTCTATTTGAAACTCATCCTCACTACTGCTTCACTCACAAAATTTACCAGTCGTTTTGCCTTATTCGTTTTAAATATTTAAAAAAAACGTATAGCAAAGAAAAAGGCTGAAAACACTACTAAAATAACTTAAAATTATTTTCAAAATACAACACTGTTTATCACTGCTATATGTAATTTATTCAACTTTTCGATGCAAACTGAGTCATTGTTTATAAAATAGTCTGTGCCTCACAGATTATGTTTGGCCACTCAGGTGGACAGCCGTCCCCAAAGAGTTAACTATATATGTATTTTGTAGGTCTATTCCCTAGTGCAAAACGTAAGGGGAAAAGCGACATCTCAGGTAACTAAATATCGTTGACCTTGGTATTTCTCTATCATTATTTCTATGAGGACTATAAACTGTATAAATATAGCTGTTTCATATGCCACTTAGCCAGCTTGCACAGAAAAAAAATGAAATTCATTGTACTAATGAGTTGTAATTAGTACACTGAATAGTCATTGAACAAATGGTGAAAGTTTGGTCATTATCCGGACGGTTAAACGAATCTTTTCATTTCGTGCATATGTAGGTTCTGTGTTTTGTAGGCAGCTACTGATTACAATTGACATTTCACCGGTTCTAAAGAACGTATTTTTGGAACCAGAAATCGAACACATAAAATGTGTTGAACAAATTAATTTTATTTATACTATTTTTGCTGAGATATTAATTAGTTGAAAAACTAAATAAAAATGGTTGCTCTATCAACCGTCTTGAACTATTGATTATAAAAAGACTTTAATTTAGAATGAAAATTGCACTTTTTTTTAATAATATAGAATTACAAAATTTTGTATATTTAAATATTTGAGCTAATTTGTTAGTACTTGATGCTTACAGCTTGGCGACCGTGTATAAAATAATAATGTTGGTCCCTTTTTACCTGAATTTTTCAGTGGTCGATTTGAAAGCGTTGTTTCAAAGGTTTCTGAAAAATTTGGCATACCTTAGAAAAAATGGATGTGATGTATGTGTGTGTGGATACAACTTTTTGACGACGTTTTCAGGAATGCCGCTCAACCGATTTGAATGCGAAAACCATTCGATTCCAACTTATGAGGATAAGTGCTGATTAGTTTTAAAGAAAGGTCGGTAGAGGCGTTTCCGAGATACGAAGCCTCCGAAGTACAAAAAATGGAAATTAAGTTTTTGAGAGAATAGGACATCAGATTTAAATCATTCAAAAACCATTCAATTTGTAATGATGAGAATACGTGGTTATTGTTTTTGGCAAAGACAGACCCAGCCGATTCAGAGTGGCAGAAAACAATGTGCTAATGAAGAAACGATTAGGTTTGGAGAAAACAAAAAAAATTTGATTTCAAATTTCATTTTTTTTAATTTTCAAAAAATAACTTTTTTAAATATCAAAAATAATTCGTATTTTAATTTTAATTTTAAAATTAAAAAAAATAAAACTCACTTATATACTTCAAATGAATAATTCAGTTTATGTAATTGTTAGAAATATGAAATAACCATTGATCAAGGTTATTGTTTATTTATTTTTCATAAACGTAAACGTTTTCGTAAACATATATTGTATAAACGTCGTCGTCTAATTCATAAGCTCTTATATTTTATCTATAAAATACAAATAATAAAATTTACAGTATTTATTATAATCTATTTCAAAACATTTGATATTTCTCAAGTATTTCATTATGGTGCGGGAAGTTCCAGCAATTTGCCTTAAGCATGCCTTAAACGTAAACGTTTTCGTAAACATATATTGTATAAACGTCGTCGTCTAATTTATGAGCTCTTATATTTTATCTATAAAATACAAATAATAAAAGTTACAGTAATTATTATAAGTATTTATATTATAAGTATTTATTATAATCTATTTCAAAACATTTGATATTTCTCAAGTATTTAATTATGGTGCGGGAAGTTCCAGCAATTTGCCTTAAGCATGCCTTAAGGCCAAAGCCATGCACCACTAGTTTGTGGTTTGTTTTTTTGTCGATTTTTTTTCGAATTTGATATCCATTTTTATGTTTAAATCAGTTATTTAGTTTTTAACTAACTATGTTAATTGTTTTGGTAAGAGAAAGTTTGTTCATAGTGTTATGCCCGCTTCACACCCCTATCGAATATTGTGTTAGTATGCATACCACTAGCTAGGACAGGCGAAGGGTATCGGAGATACCCGAAGAAATCCGAAGGCGATAACCCTATGATGCACATGCAAGGACCAGTCTCTTCTTGGCAACTAGCGGCGATACTAAACTACCAAATTCAATTAAATACAAACTACATCTAATATTCATTAAAAGTTGTTCTATTAGTATTAATAAATTATTTTATAAGTCAAAAGGACTTTCTTGAGTTTGAATTTATAATTATATATCCTCGATATAATCTCCGCTGAAGGCAACTACAAGCTGAAATATATCATTGTTAAGGCAGTGAAATATACGAAGCACAACAATAGTTTCCCCATAAGGGTGGCACCAAAATATGTAATATACTAACTAACACTAATTAATTAATTAATTTATAAATTAAGTACACTATATTGAAAATCACTTATCGAAACAGAATAGAGACATAATACTTTCAGAAAAAATGTTAAAATAAATTATGTAAATTTAAAGCAATGATTATGGATTACACTTGCGCGTTCAATTTCATAAACGTGCGTCCACACCTAACAAACGAACACGAACGAACATGTCGAACAAGAAAATATAAAGGAGAACGAATAGGAACACGAACGAACGCGAATAATTCCAAACAAACGTCTCAAAGCAGTGAGCGCTTGAATCTTTTTGTTCGACTAAACTATAAACACAACATAAACTAATGCAGGACGGCACATTTTAACATCAAAAAAGAAAAATGTTTGTCTACATTCGTGGTAGCGTCCACACTGCACATACGAGTTCAAACATGAACGAACAATTCCCTTTGATGTACCGACAAGTTGCGGAACATTGCTCGCCATGTTTGTTTATGTTCGTTCGTGATCGTTGTGGCGCCACACTACGCTGTTGCCGTTCGTTCTGGTACGTTCATTTATGTTCGTTCGTTAGGTGTGGACTCACCTATATGCGTTAGTTCGTGTCGAATGCAAAAAGGATTAAATGATATGCATCTATAAATACACATATATATGATGATATGTGTTAAACAGATTAATTTAATTTATAAAATTACAGATGTTATAAAAATGTCTCAAAGATTTCAGTTGAACATTTTATAAGCTATAAATATAGCAAATTCTAATTTTTGTTGATAAGCTTGAGAAGTTTATGCAACTTGCCTTAAGGCAAAATGGTATTTACAACTAGTTTATTTTTAATTCCACATCATATTAATATTCATTAATTAAAACTTTAGTGTGATGGAAATTTTGATTCGATCAGTTCTAAATATAATATAACTTATAGCTTGAACTATTTTTTGCAAAATAGTTAATTATAAAAATATTACATTTATTTAAACATAAAAGTTTAAAAATTTGAATATCAATATCAATAGGAATATATTATATTTTCATATAGTCTAGAATCAATATGACAGACAACAGAATTTCAAAATTGGCGGGTAAAAGCCGGAAGTTAATTTTATATATTTTTTCTGAAAATTGATGCGAAAATGCTTTTTAAGTAAATAATTTAAATTATATAACTCTGAATAAACTAAAACGTAGTAATTATATTTTACGAGCGTAAATAAAAATTAAAATAGAACGCGGGCAACAAGATGGCCGCCGTGGAACTATCTGCCTTTCCGGCATCTTGAAGCGAAAAGCGAGACTCACTTCAGTTGTACGAATAGGTATCGTATGTTATTAATAGTGCACCATGAAGTTATGTGAAGTGTGTTTTACGAGAAATTAGCAACAATTTGTAGAAAGGTAATGATTATTTGAGCAAGTAGTGGTAATGTCTATATCGAAATTACAACAAAGTTGAAGTACGAATGTAAATAAAGCATCTTGAGCAGTTGTTGAAAACTTTTAAGGTTACTTTATTGATGGGCTGCTCATATGAAATATGTTTGTGATATGCCTGTTTTACAGGTATATCGCCGTTGACTTTGGTTATGATATTTATGTGAAAATAAGGCGTTATAGTTTCAGTGTTAATTAATTGATAATAATTTTATGTGAAATTTATGTTTTGTAATATGTAACTTCCTAACAAATGTTTGTTACATTGGCCTATGTTTACAGAGACATTAAAACTGAGCGTTCAGGCCAAGGATAGCACAATGAGTGATGTCGATAGTTTAGATGATTATTCACTAGGTTTGTATATATTATTTGTATTATCTGTGAGTCATAGTGTCTAAGTGATTTTAATGAAACCTGAAAATTTTAGATCCTGATAATATAACACGGTTTGTGATATTAGCAAACGACAATGCCGAGAATCAGGACATGGAATTAATAGAAGAAGAATTACCAACCGATGATGCAGATGACATCATAGATTATATTGAAGATGATGAGGAAGATATGCCGGGAATTGAGTACCATGTAGCTAACGAATATCAAGATAATGCCTTTAGTGGGTCATTAATGGATAATTTAATAATGGTTCAAAACGACGATATCATAGAAGACACAAGGCATTTTAAGGAAGAAAATATTAGTAATGAAAATTCAGAAGACACCATTCAATTTGTTAATGGTAGGTAAATTTATTAAAGAAATAAATCAAAGTATTACATTTGCTCATAAATATTGTTTTACTTAAGGTGAAAATGACAATAGCAGACAAGCTGATTTATTTACATGCAGTAGTTGTAATATAAGTTTCTCAAATGTTGTTCAGCATATTCATGACTATCATCAGGAGCAGCAAGTAATGGTTGAGGTAAAACAAATTATTTATTTGGAATGTTATGTCATAATTTGCGCAATGAATATTAATTGAAACATTTCTCCTAATATATAAAACATATGTTGATCAGACTTTTTATTTACTTAAAATAAATGTAATTATCTGGAAACACAATCAGATATATTCTGTTTACAAATATCATACACAAAATTTATGTGTTAAGTAATTTTAATAAGAATTTTCAATTTAGATGTGCGAAGAAGATATTACAAATGGAGGAACAGAAGAAGCGGAAGAACTAATAGACCCAGAAAATTTAGATGATTTAATTCAGTATGATGAGCATATTATTCCTGATGAAACGGAAGAAAATGGTGGTAATTTAGTGTCACCAAAAAATAAAACATGGAAGATGCCACAAATATTAAACACCCTCAAAGAGGAGGAATGTACAGATAAAGATGGCAGGCTTTATACACGAAAGGTGCTTATTTTAATTATCCAATTCCATTTTTAATGTATGTAAAAGTATTTAATTTAGTTTACTTTTTCTCTGGAGTTGGTTATACAGTAATATTAATAACTAGTACAGAATAACTTGCCATTAAGCTATTTTAAAAATAGTTTATTTTTTGTAAAAAAATTGGGTTTGAAATATTGATAATTTAACTTTTTATGCAATATATTGGATCATGAATTTATTTAGTATTCCTACTTTCCTTATTCTACCATATACAAAGTAAAAGGAAGAAACGAGTTATTATATAAATGGAAGACAAATTTATACTCTATTCTATTTTCATTTTCCAAATTTTCAAGTTAATTGCTGAATTTGTTTCTTTTATTATGCATGGTGTAAGAAAATTCTTTCCAAAATATTTAAAATTTAAAATATGATTTAAAATATTAATTTTTGTCAAATATTATTTTACCTAATCATGAATTTATATTTCAAATTTAAATATTCAAAGCTGATTTTTTTTTATAATATGTCCTTGTTCAAATTCAAATTTACATTTATACTTGCTATTATTAGTTCAGGATTATTAATAGAATAACAATTTCAGGTTGTTCAGATAGAGAAGTTTTGGGATAAATCTCTTGAGAAGCAAATAGAAGACAAGAGAAATGAAGCTCGTATAGCATTACCAATATTTTATTCATGTGTTGAAACAGAAAATGGTTTGTAGTTTGTTTTTTATGCAAATTTGTAGTATCATCTACTACTTACATATTTTTAGGAACTACTATAATGCCAGACACAGATTTGTCAGAAATAAATATAAAAGTAGAACCTGGTACAGAAATACGAAAAATGTATCGATGCAGTGTGTGCTTTCTTCAATTCAAGACTTTAGTTGAATTTAAATCACACACATGCAAGAATGACACTCACAAATGTACCACATGTAATTTATTTTTTCGAACGCAATGCTTGCTTAATGCTCATATGAAGATTCATAAATCAAATAAAGCAGAAGCTACAGTGAAATCTGGTGGACCTTATATGTGCTTCGAATGTGATACAGTCTTTCCGAGCAATAAAAGTTTAAGGTGGGATTTGCTTTGTTATTTTTTCAAGTGATAATAATTAATTATAATTTGATTTAATTTAAGTTATAAAAAGTAATATATTTAAAGTTTAATATAATTTAAAGTATTTTCAAACTAATATTTTCTAGATTACATCGGAGAATGCATGGTCCAATTAAACAAAAACATATAGAACAATTTTATGGACCTGCAGGACCAGAAGCAATGGATGATCTAGCCGAAGGTGAACCACCAGAGCCCCGGGAACAATTTGAATGTCAGATTTGTAACAAATGGTAAGTGGTCCAAAATTATATATAAAAATAAATCAACCTCAGTAAGGCTCTCAAAAGTAAAGTGTTCAGAAATGTTTTTATGTTTATCTACTGCACTGAAAATGTCTTGTGTCAATTCATATAGTTTTGATATGTGATTTGCTTTTTTATATTTTTCTCAAGAACAGAACTTATTGCGGCATGAAATTATAAAAATTTATTCATATATTATGATTTTCAATTATTACATATTTCAATAGTAGTTGTGTTTTGTATTTTGTATCTTTATATTTTGAATTGATATAGTGATTTTTTTGCACAGGTACGATAAGGCATTTGAAAAGATCCATATGGGTGTACATAGTGGTGAATTACAATATAATTGCCACATATGCAACAGGAAATTCTTCACTGAAAGTAATCTATCAATGCACATGAGGGTTCACAATATTGAGAAGGTAATTTTTTTCTTTGAAGAAATAATGTTCAAAATTTATTTATTTACGGAAATAAATATTTAATTAAAACCTTCTTTACACAACATATTAAGGATATTTTATTTAACTTTATTTAGCCCCAAGCAAAGAAACAAAGAGGTGATTTGCCTTACATGTGTGGGTTTTGTGATCGCCAATTTGCTCGACCTCATGAAAAAGTGAAACATGAACGAATTCATACAGGTACTTTCTTATTTTGATTAAGAACTTTCAGATTGAGATTTACAATTTATTTTGTTATGTATTGTTTACTTTTATTTGTATCTCAGGAGAGAAGCCTCATGAATGTGAAATATGCGGCAAGAAATTTAGAGTATCCTACTGTCTTACTTTGCATATGAGGACACACACTGGTGCAAGACCTTATGAATGTCAACATTGTCATAAACGGTAATATTGAAAAATTGAAACTGTGATATTCAAACTTTGTGCTACAAATACTTGCTAGATGATTTTAATGTTCTCATTATACAGTCATTATAATTGATGTTTGCAGGTTCAAAGCCCATAGTGTTTTCAATCATCATTTGATGACACATTCAGAAGTTCGGGCTTATAAGTGTCCATACTGCCCAAAAGCTTTCAAAACGGCAGTGCAATTGGCTGGGCACAAGAACTCGCATACTAAGCCTTTTGCCTGCACAGAATGCAATAGGCCATTTGCATCTTTATATGCAGTTAGAGCTCACATGGAAATTCATAAGAAGCAGAATAGCTTGAAATATAAATGTTCTATCTGTGGTGCGAGTTATGCTCGTGGGTTTGCTCTCAGAGATCATATGAAAGAGCAGCATCAAAGCACAGTGGTCACCGAAGATGATGGAGTTGTTATTGATGAGACTTTACTGAATTCACATTTGTTACCAGAGGGTGATACTATAGAGGTATGTTATATAATTACTAGTTATGTAATTACCTAATTTTTATTTAAAGATTAGTAAAATTTTAGTTTAGAAAGATAGAACATATTTATTTTATTGATTCATTTATTTTTACTTGTTCTCATTTTAATTAAATTTCTATTACAGATTCCAATAGAAGACTACCACTATGATAGCAATGATATTCCAACGGAAACCTACATAAAGATAGAAGGTCCTATAGAGTATCAAGAAGTACAATTGTGACAATCTCACAAAGGTAAACCCGTCAAAAATTATTGATAAGTTTAACATAGTATTAAGTTTGAACATTACTCAGAAAAATAGGATTTTTCATTCTAAATTAGATTCAATTTGAAAATGTTAGGGTTATTGAGTATCTCTCGTCACATATTTCTCATTTGGAAAAAACATACTTGCATACACCTAAATTAATTGTTCGAAATGTGCACAAATGCAGCAAAGTATTCAAGTATTTTTTTCTCTTTAAGAAGGTGAATGATATATGCACATATTATATTTTACTACTAATTTATTGATAGAAAATATACAATGTACTAAGCTAGAGTTAAGATTAAGTTTTGAATAGTCCAAATGCACTTATTTAATAAGTACAGTTTGTGTGAAACCCATATTCCTCCTAATTATTCTGAGATAAATTAGGTGGATTTATATATGAGCTGTGGTTTTTATGTAATGTAAAAAGATAACTATTACACAATTTTTATAGTTCAAATTTTATTAATAATTTATATTAATCTAATAATCTAATGCTAAGTTCCAAGGCAAATTCAAGGTTTGATTTTACTTTTTAGTCATTTAGTATTACAAAAATTTGAATTACATGTACGATACTCAGTTACCTTCCATCCTTACCTACTTTCATCTTGTTTTATAAATTCAGTACATACATATTAAAAATTAGTAACATGTAAATGTTACATTTTACTAGTAAGATTATTTTTTGTTCAGTTATTCCTTGTAATAGTAATACAACTTCTTGTTTAATGTTAATACCATTGCCGAAGGTTAACAATGCTTTTTCAGAATATTATAAATATACATATGTATATAATAGATTTCATATTTATTAAATTGTATTGTCATTCCCATTTGATCATTTATTATTTTAAATAATGATATTGAAGACAATTTTTCTTACACATTTGCAATTTTAAATTATTATAGCACGGAATTTATAATTATAAATGATCATTTGGCCTGGACATTATCAAATGTACATTGATACTTTCATGTATAAATAGAAATATAAGCGCAGGAAATTGTACTGAAGTATGCATTTTTGTAGCATATGCATTCCAAGCTCTTACTAAAAATTTGAAGTTATTTGCAGTATAGTAGATCTATACATTATTCACACTTATAGATCAAAAATATTTTTTTGATATTTGAAAATAAATTATCGACTTGAGAACATAATTGGGGTCTTATTACATTGTTTACCTCGTTTTGTGATTAGGAAGAAGAAAATATAAGTTGTAAACGTAGATACAGTTTCCATATAGCAGCAAATTCTGCTGAACAAGTTTCCATCATTGAATTTTCAGCCACAGTGAAATTTAGAAAATTATTTTTTGTGAAAATTGCTTTAATTTTAGTGTATTTTTTTATAAAAAAAATTTGAAAAGTCAGACTACATTGACATATATGCGCACAAAGAAACAATTAGCGCTGCACAACCAATTAAAACTTTCAGGTATATCATCGATTAATAACTTATGCAGAGCACCACAATTACTTATCAAATGTATTAATATTTTTATATATAGATTCCAGTGTCAGCATTTTCAGTTTTCGATCAATCAATATGCAAAAACATATTCCTATATAACTATAAACTGCCTCTCCTAGGTTCAAAATATGTAATTGATATTGGCATAGAAATTAAATTTGTATTTTATTGATTATATTTTGCGCATTCTGTATAGAAATTGCTTTGAAACTATTGCTTTAAATTCTTTAACTTAACAATTATGTATAAATCGGACCATAGATAAATAAGCATCGTTAAAATGAAAGAAATATGAATTTATTCACAATTAATCATAAAACCGTTTAAAATATGAGGTGTAAAAATACTAAGTAATATCCTAATAAGAAATAGAGCCTACACTTACTTCATGAAATGGGACGTTTACTAGGTAGATACAGTATGCAAACATAAAAAATCACTGAATATTCAATTGCAAAAAATATGTAGATAATTTAACTTGAATAGATAAAAAAAAATTTAAAGTTTATTGATTATGATGCAATAATGTATTTTTTCATAGAATATAATAGCAAATTCCATCATGAATGTTTGTTGGTGTTGAAAACATCTGTTACCATACAATTTAGTTATCATTAACTTAGTGGTGCATAGTACGGTGCCTTAAGTAAAATGACACTTTCCGTTCTATAAAGAAATATTAAACAAATTAAATTTCAATAGTATTTAAATTTAAGGGGGTTGTTCTTTTTTCGTTACAAAAAATGCAAGGTATTTGTTTTTGTTTTTTCTCGAAATGTATTTATCATAGAGACATGCGGTTTTTTTTAAACAAAAATTACAAAATCATAGAATATTACGTGATTTTCTTCTTTTCTTTTTGCGCCGTCATTTTTTAACCAGGGGGCGCCAAAGCCAGTCTTGCAAAATCGATCTCTTTTGCGGTGCCACAGATAAATCCGTTGCGCATCGCCCGAAACAAAAAAAAAAGAAATTACGTTGAAGAAGAAGTTTGTTTCCAGTCCCCCTACCAAAATAAAAGAAAAAAAGCAAGAAGGAAAAAAATGGCAGCTTATTAAAAAAAAAAGTGTCAAAAAAGGCCTTTTTTTGGGGCGAGAAGCTTCGCAATTTTTTTTTTGCGTAATGTTATCAATTTGTTTGAGATAGGGGGACTCGGTATTGCAGTGGTGAACAAATTAAAAAAAAATGCAAGTCGATCCGACTTGTAGTTTTTGTTTAATTTGTGGCACCGCATTGAAAAAAGTCAATTTGAGAAAAACGTATTTAAAGTTCTTAATATAATGTACTGAATACACAATTTAATTTAATGTACTAAATACACCATGGTGTTCAAAGATGCTGACACATTAAAAAGGTCATGTGCATGAGGTATTATAATGAAAAAGAGGAATCTGGCATACAATAGCTCGCGGAGCGATAAAAAAAACGCTTTCAGAGGATCATACATATAGAGATATATATATCTATAACTTAAATATTTAAAAAGTTTATATATTTTTTTAATTTTTTGTTTAAATTTTAAAATTGTTCAAAAGAAGCAAAAGTGAGTTTTAAAATTGAACAAACTTTATAGAAAACCCAAAAAATTTGCATAAAAATTATTCATATTTTTGACATCTCTATAAAAAGAATTCGTTGTGCTGTTGGATTTGTATTTCTCAAAAGCTAAATTCGTTAAAATGAATTTAATTCATTTATATAAGACCGTTCTCTAAAAAATCGAATTTCAACAGATATATCTTTAACACTATCCCATGTAAATATTTGTTTAAATTTTCTGAAAAATCAAGCAAGGATAGAAAAATTTAACAGCCAATTATAAAGTTATGATAAAATCGAATAGCTGCAAAAAATAATTTATGCTATTACAAAACTATTCTTAAAGAAACATATTTATAAGTTTAACAAAAATCTAAAAATGTTTTCAAAAAATTCATCATTAATACTTTTTCTACTTCATATTCGAACTTTGAGCAAAAACTGTGATTATTATTCTAACAGTTTATTTCAATGTGGCTGTATCTTGCAGAACGTGGATGACCGTGTTTTCATCGAAATTTGCCGCAGTTAAGATAATATTAGAATTAAGTTAGTTAAAGATAATTTGGCCAATGATGTTATTTTCGAAAAATTACCATATATTCTGGACTGGCTTCAGAGAGACATACCGATGCTAGTGAGAAGTCATTAAATGCCATAAAATTTGAGACGAAAGTGAAAAGCGTAGTCAAAGAAGATAAAAAAACACACTGAAAGCAAGAGGCTGAGGTGCTACCAATGCGAAGAGGTTAGATATCTTATTCGAGACTTTCCCAGATATAATAATAAGTCAGCGGGAATCCGAGACAGACATGACAAATTTTAGATGTGAGGTGAATTGTATTACTTATGGCAATAAGTCAATATATTAGTTATAATGTAATTAATTATAAATAAGCTGTTAAATTAGTTATAAATAAACTGTTAGAATAATAATCACAGTTTTCGCACAAAGTTCGAATATTTTATTTTAACTCAGTTTTATTTAGCAATCAGAAATACATAAAGATTCCTATGAGCTAAAATGACAATATTTATGAGTGATGCCTAAGAAGAACTCCAATGAGAACTTCTCAGTTTTACAATTAATATAATATATTAGACCTAATCTAAGACTAAGTCTAAGGGCCATTGTCGTTTCAACCTCCTAATGCCAAAAGGTTGAGTAATGTCAACTATAGAAGGGTTCAAATGTGCGTCCAGTTTGCGCTTATATTTTTCCTTAACTTCTTTAAACGTTAATTGCACCGTTTTCATGTTGAGATCGCTGTGAATGGTTTCATTTGTCACGTACCACGGAGAATTGTACGTAAAATTTTTGATTGAGTTCTCTGCATTATAGCTACATTAGATTTGTAAGCACATCCCCAGAGCTCAATTCCGTAGGTCCAGATTGGTTTAATAATCGATTTATATAGCAGCAACTTATTTTCGACAGAGAGCTTCGACTTTTTACGCAGGAGCCAATCAAATTCTTTCATTTTGATCATTATTTGCTGCTTTTTTGTTTTTATATGGCTTTTCCAAGTAAGTCTGCTATCTAAATGGAGACCAAGATATTTCACTATGTTCTGTTTCGGAATCTGGACGTTATTTAAAAAAATTGGAGGACACGTACCCTCTCTCAGGGTAAATGTGATATGAACTGATTTGGTTTCATTTATGCAAATCTTCCATTTAGCAAGCCACATTTGTAGTTTATTGATAAGTTCTTGCGTTTGTCGGGAAGCTTGATCAGCACTGTGATTACTGCTAAGTATGGCAATATCGTCAGCGAATGTAGCAATTGTCAGATTTTCAAGTAATGGGAGGTCCTTTGTGTACAAAACATATAATAAGGGTCCAAAAATACTACCTTGTGGAACTCCTGACATTATTTTGTGAAAATCAGATGTTACTTGATTTACTTTCACTTGAAAAATCCTATCTTGTAGATAAGATTTTAAAATCCCATAATACCTGGTTGGAAGGTATGTTTTTATTTTATATAAAAGTCCTGGGTGCCAAACTTTATCGAATGCTTGTCGAACATCCAGGAAGACACCACTACAAAATTGCTTATTTTCAAATGACTTGTGTACAGTATCAATAACCCTGTGAACTTGTTGTGTGGTCAAATGTTCACGTCTAAAGCCAAATTGATGATAGGGGATCCAATCTGAAGGAAGCTCGTTGTTGATTTGGTCCAAAAGGATCCTTTCAAGCAGTTTAGATATTACGGGAAGCAAGGATATTGGTCTATATGAAGATACCTCAGTCAAGTTTTTGCCTTTTTTAGGAATCATTAATATTTGGACAGTCTTAAATGATTTTGGCCAATACTCTACTCTTAGTATGGCATTAAATATATAAGTTATTAAAACAATCGTTTTCTTAGGAAGTTCTTTCAACGCCCTTGCTGTTATTTTGTCAAAACCAGGCGATTTTCTTGTATTTAACATCTGGATTTGAGAGTTGACTTCTTTGGGTTTGATAGGTTTGAAAGATTGTGAAGACTGTAGAGGTTTAAGCAATTCTTCTTCAATCTCTTTATCAATGGTGGAATCAAATGGTGTAAAAACATTAGACAAGTATTTAGCAAATAGGTGCGCTTTGTCTTCTTCACTTCTTGCCCAAGGATCATTAGCACTGTTTCTAATAGGTGAAGAAAAGAATTTAGGCTTCTTCACATTACTAGCTGCTTTCCATATCGAGTTATCTGATCTGGATAGATTATTAATGTACTTTTCAAAATTTTCATTTCTGACTTGCCTAAGTTTGCTTTTAAGTTCTCTGCAAAGTTTATTGTATGTATTTTTATCGTCAGGTCTATGATTTTGTTGCCATTTAGCTCTAGCACGTCTTTTTTTCCGAATAAGTTCTTTGATTTCCAACGGAATATCTTGGAATGCAGGTGATGCTTGAGTTATAGGAGTTGTTTCATGAATTGAAGTCTTAATGTGTTGAAGCAAATCTTCAGTAGCCTTGTCAATTTCAGCATCGCTTTTGAGACTGATATGTAAATTTGTTCGTTCTTTCAAAACTTCTCGAAATGTTTCCCAATTTGTATATTTGCTATGTAATATATTTAAATTTATTTTTTGTATAACTGTGATTCCTATAGTTAAAACAATTGGAGAGTGATCTGAGGATAAATCGTATGATGGCTTAATATCCGTCACGTTCTCATTTATGTTATTCAAAATAAAGAAGTCGAGCAGGTCTGGTATTTTTTGAGGATCACTAGGCCAATATGTCGGGGTTCCAGTGGACAGAAATGAATAATTATTATTATTTAAGGTTCTCAGGAGCTCATTACCCTTGCTTGTGATCAGACGTGATCCCCAAGAAGTGTGCTTGCAGTTAAAATCACCACCTACAAGAAATTTCGCACCCAATTGATGGAAAAACTGTTCAAAATCTGTTTGCTTGATATTATGTCGTGGAGGGCAGTACACTGCTGAGATTGATAATTTATAAAGATGCATACTGACAAGTATTGTTGTTGCTTGTAGGTGTTCTTTTTGGTACGGAGGAAGTTCGGTGTGAACTATTGTATTTCGAATAAGTATGGCTGATCCTCCATGAGCCGTATCATCGGGGTGATTGCAATAGTGTAGTGTGTAATTCGGAATCTTGCAGAAAGAGAAGCTAGTAAAGTGGGTCTCGCTTATTAGCATTATGTCAATGTGATTCAAAGTAAGGAAAGTAGTTAATTCTAGCTTGTGCTGTAGGAGCCCATTGGTATTCCAAAGTGCAATTCTTATAAATTTAGCCATTACGGATTAATTTTATTTAATAAAGTTGTTAGCAGGTTTAAAACCACACCATTTTGATGAATTAATTGATTAAACATCTGTTTGAATTCGTGCATGAACTGAGCGAAGCTTGCAGATATGCCTGAAGCAGACTCTGGATTAACGTTGTTATTTAACGCCTGTGCATATGTTCGAGGGTGACCTTGATTAGCGATCTGATTTGGATTTAGATTCGGGTTAGTGGTAATAGTTGGATTAACCGTATGTCTGTTGTTGGATTTTTGGTTTATAAACGTTTGTGGTGTATTATGATTCATTTTTGGAAATATTTGATTATATACCTTCTTATATGCTGGGCATCCACGATAACTAGCTGCATGATCTCCGTCGCAATTTGTACAAAAATTTAATACATTTTCAGGTTTCTTGCAGTCTGATGCAGTATGATTGTTACCACAACGGGAACAAGTAAACGGCTTATTGCAGTAACGTTGAGTGTGACCGAATTGTTGGCATCTTTTGCATTGCACAACGGATTTATTATAGTGTGGCGGTTCTATACGAATTATGTTGTTAAGAATCTTTGTTACGCTGTATATGTCTTTGTTATTTTTTGCGGGTTCAAGATCAAGGTAAAATAAATTTAGTGGCTTCCTAGTTTCTCTGTGTAGTATATTTGTAACATTTCTTACTTCATGACCTATCTTCACGAACTCATTCTTGATTTCTGCAATGTCTGTGGTATGATGTAAATACCTGATTACAACACGATACGCCCTTTCCTCTTTTAGTTGATAAGTATGATGAATAACATTTGTTGCACGCAAATGTTTAGTTAGTTTTCTAAAAACATCAGAATTCTGACACATTAATTTAGTTACATTATTATTTAAGAAGCGAAAAGTGTATTGTTCGAGATCAATAATAGTGTTGATTTCATCCATCATATCTTTATAATTGTCGACGCCGTAAATAAAAATCGGTGGAGGTCTCTGGTTGGTTGTTGAGAAATCATTATTATTGGTAGTATTGATAATAGTGCTTGGTAACTGATTTATGTTATTTACCGGTTCGAATCTATTTGACAGAGTAACCGGAGTGCTATTAGTATCATCAGATAATTTACGCTTCTTACTTTGTACAATTTTTTTTGTTGTAACAAGTTGCCACGATTGTCTCGGATTAGTTGTACAAATATTTTCCGTATTGTATGTTTGAACTTTAGTTAATTGTTTGGGCATATTTTGATTTTGACTACATACCAGTTTTGAAGCAGTCACTGCAGGGTCTTGTGAATTGCATTGAATAGCTTTTTCAATATTGGCTACTTGCATTAGATCGACGTCCATATTGGTATTTGATGTTGAAATATGCTTATTAGCAGACGAAAGTTCTGTTTCCTTTAGACGCAATTGTTCATTGACATATTCAGAACATGTTAGTGAATTGTCGTAAAGCACGTTATATGTTTCCGTAATAGAAAATTTGTCCATAGTGTCCCCCGCAGGGTGACACTTCTCTAAGTTGTGTAAAGTTAGCACAGTGATTTGTCAAAAATTATTTACACAAAAACACTGATTAATCACACTGAAACTAAGTATAAGATCACTAGACACTCACAGCGCGTGTTTGATTTGCCATAAAATCAATTTTTAGTATTTATTATGGTTTAAATCCGCCAAAAAATTACTTTAAATAAACTAGGCGAAAATCAAATGACAGAAACCAAAGTTCGAATATGAAGTAGAAAAAGTATTAATACCGAATTTTTTGAAAACATTGGGATTTTTGTTGAACTTATAAATATGTTTCTTTAAGAATAGTTTTAATTTAATAGAGAGCTTAGCGTTTGAGGCTATGCTGAACGTAGATACTTCCATTTGCGCAATCAAGGCATCACTAGTGACTAAAGAAAAGTATACCGATTGGTACACAAAACAATGTCTATAAAAAGCTGGAGACGGGAAAGCTTCAAAATGGAGCCCCTTACGGCCATAATTAATTATAACGATGGAGGTGAATTGATTAATGGTAAAGGATGTTTATGTTAGAGTGGCGCCAAATGATATGCAAACAGAAGACATGATCATTGACCGTACTTTTACTGAGTTGACGCATTTGTACTATACCTTGAAGAATCATCTATTTGCAAAATCTACTTGAAGAAGCAGATAAACTAATCCCGTAAAATAATTTTTGGTTGAAGGACTATACAGAACTGAGTCAGGACAAAGCAGCAATCCATAAGGAGAAGGCAGTAGTTGATGAGGACAGAGCTACGCTCGATGAGAGCAAGGCTACACTGAACGATTGTAATGCTGCACGGGAGGACTACCTTAAGGCGGCACTGGACCGCGAGAGGATGGCACTAGATCAGGGGTGGAAGGCACTGGACCGCAACAGGATGGCACTGAACAAAGACTAAGCTGGTCGGAAGCAATCTCATCGATTTACAAAATGCAGAGAAATGCAATAGAAAAACTATTGCAAACCAGAGGAACAACCAAGGTAGAAGAAAACCAGAATGGACTAGAAAGAGACTCTAGTAAACAGCAGAAAGCGTGCGCAATCAAGACACTGAACAATACATATGTTCAATTAAGTGCTTGAATAAGAACATCGAATGGTACATGAACCATTGACAAGAGCTTTAAGTTAGAGATCCTGCGGCCGCAATTGTGACAATGGAGGTGGATGGAGTAATAGCAAAGCATATTTCTGTTAGAGTGGTGTTAGGCAAACAGTAAATATGGTCATTGGCCATACTTTCACAGAGGTGTGTTGCATTTGTATTATACCACAGAAGACGGTAGACTAATCTACATGTACAGGCAAATATGGATATTGTACAACCTATAAAACAAAGGCTCAAAAACGATAACAAAACTACCTGAAGTAGCGATTAAACTAATCCTTTGTTCAAATACTTCTGGAGGAATCCAACGGACTGGAGAAAACTCCTGATGAAGCAGAAGATGGAAGAAGAGGTCACTGGGCTGGGAGAAAACCACATTAGACCTGGATAAGAGGACACTGGATCGGAAAAAAATCACCAAGAACCAAAAGAACCCAAAAGTCACTCCCAACGAAACAGCCACAGGCCATCTAGGCTGAAGAATTACCAAGGCCGATTGGTAGCGATTTGGATAAAGGATTTCGAATAACTAATCTGTTTTTATAATAGCGAATTTGCCGACTGAGTTACCATTTTTAATACCCTTTGCCACGTATCTTCGAAACGACTGGACCTGCCTTGTCCAAAAACCAATCAGCACGCCTCCTTATTAATAGGAATCGAATGTTTTTTTGAATTATTCAAATTGGTTGATCCGTATTCCCGAAATCTTTGACAAAAATTATCTGCGCACGTACACACACACACATACGCACATCCATTTTTTCTAGGGTATGACAAAATGTTCAGATATCTCAGAAATTTTTGCGATTACTGAAAATTCACAACAAAATAAAGCTTTTAAAAAAAATAAATTACAGTACGGGAAGTTCTAGCAATTTGCCTTAATGCCATGCTCCATTTGTCACTTATTGAAACTGCACTTATTCCAATTGAGAAAACGCCGACGACGATTTTGATAAAGCTTGTACGACGATAGATTTCGTTGTCTGAAATAACATACTACAATATAAGCCTACGATGAGCGGTTGAATTAAAACATTTTCTTATAAGTTTGGAATTGCGCCGCGGGTTTTGGCGATTCTAATCAGAATCTATGCGAAGCAATGTAGGTTTAGTGTTTCGTAGTATTACAGTTGGCGTCCATGCTTAAATAAAATACATTTTTAGAAAGCGAAATTTATGAAATAAAATCGATTGAACAAATTAATTTATTAATACAACAATTTATATGATATTATAATTATAGATATTAATTAATATTAAAGTACATATGTTTGAAAAACATCAATCTGTAATCGCATTATTATTATTTTCTAGTGAAAGCGAAAATTTTATTTTTGTAATAAAGAGTTGAACATTTTTTTTTTTAATTTAATAAAGAGTTGATCATTTAATTTTTTTAATTTAAATACCCGATTCTTAATTCTTATTGATTAAGTTGATTATGTATAAGTATCGGAAAGTTTATCAACATGCCTCAAGGCAAAATGCCATTCACAATTTTGACATTCGAATTAGAATTCTTGTCTAAAACATGGATGAAATATTTTGCCTCCTACTGTTAGTTAATTATGAACAAACGGCATAGATGATCGTCGTGCAAAACTATCAGCGTGAATCCCTATCAAGTTGTATCGAATGGCCTTCAAATTTTTGAAATTTGCATAGCCATTTTTGAGAAAACGTGGACGAAAAGTAAAAGAATCCGCTCACATGCACACACACCTACTTTTAACAAATTTTGTTTCAAACGATTAATAATGACTTATGAGGCGAAAACAAACTTCTCCTTCGTAGAGTTAATAAATGTAGTAAACCATTTGTTATCCTATCGTTTAATACGTAGTAAATTTATTTTTAAAAATCAGCTTAGTTAAAAGCTTGTTTTATTATGTATATAAAAATGTATGCATTCTATTAGATAAGCTTATATTGTATTTACCGGCGTAAATAGTGTGTTACAGGGCGTATTCAGTTTTCAATGTCGATTTTAACAAAGGCTTTGTAAGTCCTTATTACAAATATAATTTTTGTTTATAAAACCTATCATTTCAACTAGTTTTCATATATAATGATAAAGTATTATGATGAGAAGTATCAAATGGCACATATGCTATATTTGTATTGGGTATAAACAATACAGAAATTTTATTCATCAACAAAAACAGTTTACTGAGATATAGTATATTAAAATCTTAAAATTTCAGGTTGTCATTATATACAATATAATTTCTTAATCTTTCTGCAAAAAATAACAAATTTACTTTCTGATCAAAGTAATAAAATTCAAAGACAAATAAAAATCACAAAACTTGAACTTTGATGATGAATCTAATACTACAGTTTTTATAAAAAATGAAGTAAGTGAACTCGGTAGTATATTTATATCAGTTATTTAATATCAAATTACAGCGTTGTTATTTAATATACTTGCAAAATTTTTCTTCTCATATTTAGAATATAAATAACTATTCAGAATATAAATATAAACTTGTGTTTTTTACGTGCAACAGCGCAAACCTCCAAAATTTAAAGATGCAGAAATTGTAAAACTGCAAATAGTATATGGGAGACTGGATACGGTTGTGTTAGGGTACGGTAGTGACAGTAGTCATAACAGCTAAACTATACTGATTTTGAGATAGGCTCCAAACTGAGGAAGACAAAGTATGTTTGTTTGAACAAGTTACCATTATTGCTTTCAGTAGGGGCTCAACGATAAAATGACCTGTAGACTGCAATGCTTTTAAAGTCAAAAATAAGAGTCAAAAGTAAGTTTTTCCGTTCGATATTTTTTAATAATAACTGTTACTTGTATGCGGATAACTTTGTGAGTTATTTTGCTATAAGTTGTTAGCAGTTAATTACCTGCAATTAGTTTTTGCGAGGATAATTTGATCATTACTATAATTTGACTCCAAAAGTGTGTGTTGGGTACGGTGGTTGCGACATATTTTGTGGATACGATTGTTACATGTACAATCAAGGTTTTACATGATTTCTTATTAACATTGTTTAAAAATTTATGTTATATTATAAGCCTTGTTTAAATGATTTTGATGTGTTGTGTCACAAATTTCTGACAATAAAAGTCGCCACTGATCAAAAGTTATTCTGGTGTTGTTTTTAGCCTATCTTTATATCTGTCACAACCGCCCCTTGGGTGTGGACGGTTGTGACATTCTCTTGAAATGATTTAAGGTCAGTATTTCAGTATTTACACGTAGTCCAATGCTAAAATTACCATATTTACTTTTTCCCCTGATAACTGGCAAATAAACACAATTATTGCTGATAAAAAAGGGACCATCCCCCCCGACCGAGTCCTCGTTACTAAAAAATTACAATTGAAATTATCATATTGCACAAGGTTGAGGTTAAGAAGCAATAAAACTAGTTATAAAGGGTTTTGTTAAATTGAGCCATACTGATATGATTTTCTCCAATTCGACTCTTAGAAAGCACTTTATGAATTATCGTTGCTGGAGCAATAAAATGCGATAAAAGGAATGCATTAAATTAATATGATAGCGATGATTTTGAAGCTCAAGCTTTTTATCAGTACAATTCAGGAGCTTTATTGATTAACATTGTCCGAAATATTATTTTGACTGATTGTGGGTGAGTCCCTGAAATTTACACACACTCATGTAATATATATATATATATATATATATATATATATATTATAATATTTAAAATAATGTGCAATTAATAGTTAGATGTACCAAAAGATGATTAACACAAATTTCATGCGACGCTCATATAAAACGTGAACGAAACATTTAAATATATTTTATAAACTACATGTAAGTTATTATCACAAGTTAATGAAAATTAGTTAAGCGATAAATTATTATTAAAAATAATAAAGAGGAATATTTCTGTGAAATGAAAAAAGTAAAACTATAATATAATATCTATAGTGATTTTTTTTAATTTATTTAGTTCTCAATTACAGTTTGTCAAAAAAAATACGTGAACAATTTTACAAAACAACTTCAATTTTAAAAAATTATCATGGCAACAAGAACAAAAAAAATTGTCTAATCATCGTTTCAATTTTAACATTGTATGAAATCTTATACTAATCTAAAATTTTAAATTAAAAATATATAAATGTAATCCTACAGAAAAGAATATATTGTGAATTGTTTTTATAAATCGAGAATGTAGAAAGTTTTTTATAAAGAATGAATTAAATAAATATTTTATTGAGAAAAAAGGAGGTTTTTGATCCGCTTAGAATGAATTGAAAAAACGTTTTGGTAGTGTGAAAAAATCATTAATTTTTGAGAAAGGCAGGTTTAGCAATTTTAAAATTTGAAAAAATTGAATAAAAATTAATCCAGTTTCAAACTTTATTATAATTTTCAAAAATATTCAAATTTAAAAAAAAAATATAAGGTTGTCGGATGTCTTCACTCAGTTCGGCCCGATGGTCCGATTAGGATTTGTTTAAACATATATGTTCACATTTCTTGTAAACACACACATAAGTTTTTTGTAAAAAGCGTTTGTCGTCCAAATATTAATGGCAAACATAAATTTTTATCATTTTACTTAATTTTTTCTTTTATTCTTTCATAACTCAAATGATACTTTTTCATACTCTCAATATTTTTATCTAATTTAAATTAATATAAATGGAACAGATTTTTATTTATTGAAAACGGAAGACCAGAGAAAACAGACCTGAACACGCTAACATACATACAAAATTATCATGAATTTGACAAAAGTAGAATGTATGTGTCATTTCTTTTTGTAAGTTCAATATGAAATCAAAATATACTAAATTTGATATTTCAGTTTCCGCATTTCATTTAAATTCTATTGCCGCCTGCGATTTCTTCTTATGTTTGCGTAGACAAAAAATATAAAATTAATTAATAACATCAATTAATTTTTAATAACAAGGAGAAAATAAATACAGAAGTAAATAATCGTATGAAATATTAATTTTAGTTCAAACACAAATGTGTATTACACAAATTGCGTTCGACTTTGGAACAAGTTCCGACGTAATCTGGAACTGTTCCTGGGACGATATATCCTTAGGAAATTCAAGTCTGGATTCAAATGAATTTCAAGCCACAAATTGCACAAAACATGAATCCGATCACTGGTTTCACATGGAATTGGACGCAAATAATCAATACCATCCAATTAAATATGAGTGGAATGAGAACATCGTAGACGTAAGTTAAAAAATAAAAATTATACTCCTTCTATTTGCTCAAGAAATTATGTTTAACTCTGACCATCATTATCGACGTAACTAATTCTCCAATTTAGCTTGAATACATACACGATTATGATCAATATCTAAATTGGTAACCAATTCGATTTTAAATATGGAACAACGATTAGAATATTGTTTCAATATAACTTAAGGGGCACAACTAGTGTAACCGCCTAAAAAAAGGTGATTTTTGGAAATTTATATTAAAAAAACTACTTTATCAATGATTTCAAAATTTTAGGAATATTTTTATACATGTTTTAAGAATACATAGTAAAATTTTCGAAGAAAAAAAATAAATATTTTTTCAAGTTATCATCGATCTCCAACGGCGCGACAATAAAAAGGCCCTTCACTGCTGCAGTGATTCCGGCCTTCTACGTGGATGAAATTTAAAAAAAAAATTCGTTAAACTAGATAATATTGTCTGTAAAATACACTATGATAAAGAAAAAAAAAATTGGCAAAATGACGGTGTTTTTTTTTAAAAAAAAGTCGAATTTTACCCAAAATTTTAGTCGTTTTTGGACTGCCAAAATTCGATTTTTGATCCGATCAAAAAATCGATAGTTTATTTTACGGAGAACTATATATATATATATATATATATATATATATATATATATATATATATTCTTTAAATGGCTGTGACTCAGAAACTATTTAAGATATCGATTTAAAATTTTGGTATGTTATTTTTAAAGGTATAACCTATTAAAAAGTCTTTGTATCTTTAATAAGTTTTATATGATCTATAAATAATATTAAAATAAATGCACTTGTAGCGCACAAATTCTTTTATTTGCAATTTTGGTTTAAATGCATAACGAATTGTGATGTTAAAAATATTAAATTCTAATTGTTTTTGTATAAATTTGAAAAATATGTGTATCGAATGGTGGAAAAAATAATATATAATTCACATTTAATGTTACTACAATGTACAAAATTCAGTCTGATCTAAATTTGCACAACACGCATAAACGATGATGTGATAATTATGCTAAAAGATGTATACAAAAAATACCCCACCCAAACAAATAAAATAGGCACCTCAATTAAAAAACGCGTTTCATCTTATCAATTTATGATAACGCCACATTTAATATAGTGCATATAGTCTAGACTCAAAAACAAGATAACACTAATAGATTTTTACCTTGTCCAGGATGCCTACTACGGCCAACACGATTTTCCGAATGAGCTTTGGATCGTTTCCCCGAGCTGGGAGATAGCTGCTAAAACACTAGCGTTCTTGCCAGTAATCGTAGGTAGTTTTCTGATATACCTGCAAGAAAATCATAATAATAAAATTCAATTTTTGTTATTACTTAATACAAACATATAATATATTGATTTAAATTATTTGTAATTGTAGTATGGGCATAATGAGCGGGATGATCACAATCGTTTTTTGTTTTACAATAAGAAGACGTTATATAACATTAAACGTGGAATTTCTGTAAAATTCATTTTATATCGAGAAACAAGAAGAATTTTGAAATAATTTTTGGAACAGTTACAATTCAAACATACGAGTATACAGTAAAACTAAGTTTATAGAATGTACTTTGTTGGAAAATGTACATCGGACAGAACATCTTTCATAAAAATCAATGCAAATCATAGTTAAGCCTTTCATGTCAAAATAATATTCCATATTAATTACAATATGCAACTTCTATAGAAGTAGAGTAAAATTGCAAGAGTTTTGCTACGAAAAACAATGAAATGAATCAGTATTGCTTGTTAAAAGAGTTAAAATTCGTGATTTTGTTTCTAATATTTTTTCTTATTTTGCTTGCATTCATTCACCACTGTCCTAAACACGATAATATGAAAAAATGGTATGAATGATGAATTTTGCAATAAATAGAAGCATCCACCGATGTTTTCACCGAGATTAATTTTTAGATCAGAACCTGTATTAAACAAATCAAAACTAACTTAACTAACTTGACAAATCTGATATCATGCACTAATAATATCAATTTTTACTTGAAAATATAGATCAACAATATATCCTATTGAAAATATCCCATTTAGGCAATGAGTTTAACTCTGAGTGATACTAAAATTAAAGTGTGAACGCAATATTTGTTTTAAAACAGGAATCAGACTTTATGGGCTGTTTCCAGGATACTTCGTAACTACGTAGCTCTTATTATTAGAATTATAGTAGTCATATATTTCTTATATCTTTATTAGTAGAATTTTTCTAATATTGATGATATATTTTTATTTGAACCATCCAACCAACGTTGCCGTAGAAGGGCTGTTTTTATGTTGCAACATATTTCCAGGTATATTTTCAAATTGGTGAAAATCGAACTCTAAACCTTCGGTTTCGTTATATTTGAATAGTTAACTCGTTAACTTACGATTTAGATTCGAAAATGTCGGGTCAAAGTTGTTCGAGTTGGCGCGGCGTTTGTGACTATTTTCCCTCATAGTGTACGATTTGACACAAAAATAAAAATAATTTTGTGTTTTATGGTTTCGTATGAATAAATATTTTATAATACTTGCGTTCGCCATACCGGGCCATGCCCGAAATGCGTAATATTTGCTTCTGGCCTTATTTTAAGTTAAGGAGTTTAGCGAGACAATAATAAATGTTGTTTTAGTGAGTTTCAGCTTAAAATTATTGATGTATAATTTTTCAGGTGGGATTTTAGGAAATTTTGCCCTTCTTCATGCGATGTTTCGCTTTAAACCATTACGGACGCCAACTAATATGATGATTGCCAATATGGCTTTTGCTGATCTTCTAACGTTGCTGGTATCGCCGGTCATGCTTCTTATGCACGACTTTTTTCAGAATTATATGCTAGGAGCGTTTGGTTGCAAGTTTGAAGGATTCATCGATGGTATGATTTATACACACATATATTATATATATTATACACATATATTATACTGTGCGCGCTGTTCGATGTGAGCGCTACAGTTAACTGGTGGAAAAAATTCTGAGAATGATACAATAATTTGGTATTTTTCGAGGGTTCCGGAAAGCGCGTTTACCAAAAATACCAAATTATTGTATCATTCTCAGAATTTATTCCACCAGTTAACTGTGGCGCTCACATCGAACAGCGCGTACAGTCGTCCAAATCCAGCACATGACGAATATATTCGTCAATTAAAGTTTTGAATCGGTACTTTTAGTAGATGCTCCTTGCGTTCTGTTTTGTACTAATGACCGTTCACGTGTATGCATTTTACATTCAGAACACGAATTAGAATTAATTAAATTAAATATTAATTAATACAATTGTACAATTACTAACATGGCCTATAAGTTTTTTTTAAAAGATGTCGATTGGAAATCGCATTGACTAGGTTGTGGCACAAACCAAAAATTAAACAAACAGTTTAAATGTTATTATTTCCACTGGCACTGACAAAAAATCCGTTTTATCACTTAAACTGTTTGCTGCCCTGTCATTGGTCAATTGAGGTTTGTTTTCATTTTTTTTTTTCAGAAAAACTACATAAATTTATAAATTTGCAAAAATAAAAAAATCAAATATCTTTTTGAATATTCATAGAAATAAATTTGATACAATTAAACTAATTTGATAGTATTCTTTTATATTTGCAAAATTATAAAATACAAAGTTTTAATTTATATTTCTTGAAATAACAGATGTTATTAAAAAGAATTCGCTAATTATATTACATTTTTTTCTGAATTTCCAACCAATGAAGCCCTACAAAATTTGCCGCCCTGGGCACTAGCCCCTTCCCCTACTGTAAATTCATCACTGGTCTTACAATTAGTCTCAAAAACTTCCAAACATCTTGATATTTTAGAGTATATTTCTTTTTTTTGAAAAAAAAACACTTGAAAATTTAAAAGCAAATGGTCACTGTTTTATGCGCATGACGAATTCGGATACTCTGTTGTCTCAAAAACTTTCGATTTTTTTTTTTGAATAATTTAAATCGGTTGTCCTGAGCGCCCAAAAAATGTATCCATGCATACAAACATACTACACACACACACATAAGAAAGTTGATAAAATAAATAAAATTTTACTTTGCAATGCTTGGCGGGTCACAGAAAAATATTTAAAGGGCTCCATAAAGCCCGCGGGCCGCGGGACGTTATTCTATTCGACGCTTCAATGCGATCTGAGTCATTGTGTATACAAGCTGCTGAGTGCCTTAGAAGAGGCAGCCAAGTGATATGCCAATCTTAAGTCGTCCCCTCAGGGAGACAAGCCCAGCGGAAAGTGTTCTCTTGTTGATTATTATGCTGAATTGCATAAATGGCGAAACAAACACTAAACGCATGTATTAAATATTGATACAATAGCCACTAGTTTTTTTTGCAATATTTTAACTTAAATGAAACTAGTGGGGCGCATGGCATCGTGCCTTAGGGCAAATTGCTGGAACTTCCCGTACCAAAAATTATTTTTCAAAAAAATTGGAAAACGATTGACATTTTTCAAAAAAATTTACTTCAAAAAAATTAAATTTTTGAGAAACTATAAATTCGACAAAAAATTACTTTTTTGAAATAATTTTTTTTTTTTTGAAAAAAAAAATGTTTTCTTTATTTTGACATATTTTGGAAATTCTGAACTTTTTTTCAAAGCAATCGTACTGCTTTACCTGCATGGAGACAAAATATCAAAGCGCGTAAGCGTCGCGTCGCCGTCTAACGGATGAACATTGGTACGGAACCCATAGGAATGTAAACAAAATTTATACTTATTATTAAAATCTCTATAAAATATCTGATAATTTGATCGGAATATATCTAATGATCATTTTAGACCGCCAAATGCCTTTTTTTTTACTTTTTTCATTAGATCTCAGAACCGCTAGACCTAGAGATGCCAAAATATTCAGAAACCTTTGAAACGTAAAGATATATAAAAAAATTTATTTCCCATTTTTTTGCGATTACTATAACTTGCCCTACGGGAAGTTAATAAAAATGGTTGGAAAGATGATTTTTTTTTAAATTATTTTTGAACAGCAATCAGAACGTCCTATAAGCTGTATATAATTTCTGTAATAGGGCGAGTATTTTATTGGTGCAGCAATGCCGGGTGAGGGCTGTTTTTAATTGTAAACATTACTATCTATATTTCCAAGTGAAAATCGTTGTCACTGCTGCCTGACAACAGGCTGCACGAAGTGGGTATCGAACCCGGGACCTCTGATTCAGGTCCCGTCGCTCTTAACCGCTTACGCTAGCCCACGGGCGAGCCGGAAAGATGATTGGTATCAATGTATCACTCTCATCGAAGATTACAATAATAAATAACTCCTTAACTTACAAGTTAGATTCGATAATGTTGAGCTAAAGTTGTACAAGCTGGCGCGGCGTTCCAGACTATTTTGTCAAACAGTGTACAGTTTATAACAAAATAAGAATATTTTTCTTTTCTATAGTTTTGTATAAATAAATATTTTGTAATAGGTGCGATTACCGTAAAGCGTAATATTTGTTTGCGGCCCGATTGTCTTACGCGGGCTATGCTGTTTGGCCTGGCCAAGTTAAGGGGTTAAAGTAGAAAATTTACGAAATATGCTTTTTTTAATTAAACCGGATACTTACTTGGTGATGATTGCACTAAACAGAGGAAAACCAAGAAACTCTTAAGATCTAATATTAATTATCGAAACTAAATTGACGGCACATAACGTAAGTTCCAAAAAAAGAACTTAAATTAGCAATAGCAATGGTAACCTAATAAATGCCAAAAAAACTCACCTTATTTCAACACTTTATTTAACAAAACACGAAACACTATTTTAATAAAAAATCTCATAAGCACAAATCACTGTTGTCTTCTGAGCACTATCATTATGGTCTATTGAGCACTTGCACAAAACGTTATTGTCTTCTAAGAGGAAAATTGTATAACTAACACTTTTAAGGTTAAATGCAAAATTACGCACATTTTGTTTATTTGATGTGATGTGACGTTGCTTTCATTTGTGCAATTCGGTCAGGTTTGGCCGTTGCGCGCCAAATTTGAAATGTTATTGTTGTTCCTTTTAAATTCATTATTATTCAACTAATTATGATGATATATTTTTCTTATAAAGGTGACCATATCTTTTCGAGTCAAAACCGAGACGGCAATTTTTACAGTTATGCTAATTCGGGATGAGACGGAAGCTTTATGCCAAATACTTTAAATATGATTTTAAAATAATATAAATACTATTTAAAGATACAATAAAATTTTTAAAACAGGTTTTTTTAGAATAAATATTATTTTTTATATCAGAGTTGCGGACTTTTAGTAAGAACTTTATTATTCGATTATATGTTAAACTTTTCTTTTACCTATGATGTTATATTATATCTTATATTTATCTAAAAAAATTATAACTTGTTTGTTCGTGATCATAATTTTGGTTTCATACTTTTTCGTGAAATTGAATATGTAAAAGTTGAATATATTATTATGAGATGCTATTTAAACCCGTCTTTGGAGTTTTGTATCAGGAATTTTTTTCATTCATAACGTCTTGTTTCATATAAGGGTCATTCTTCTACAAATCGTACGGATTTTCGAAAAAATAAAATGTCACATTTTAGAATCGTCTGAAATTTTTTTCACAGATATTATACATAAAATCATTTGACACGTATTTCAGGATTTTGCTGAAAAAATTTTTTTACGTAAATATTTTCGATTGAAATATAGATTTTTTGCTTAATTTCTATGAACATCATCTGCGGTAAATTAATTATCTCCGGATGTGCTGATCGGATCAGTATTATTTTTTTTTTTATTACACTCATATTGTAGTGAACTTTGTAATGATTAAAATTTTTGTTTTTGTTTTTGCAATTTTCTTAACAATAACAACCCTTAAATATTTACAAAGGTTTTACTCAGCTTTACCCCAACTTGAATCGATCCAAAAAAAAACACATATTTTTTCTTTTTTTCTCTGCAACAAAATTCTTTTTACAATTTGTTGGAGACTTTGTGACATCGAAAGATATTAAATATTTTCAAGAGCGAGCCGCGCTTTTCCCGTAGGGGACCTCAAAGACTTGTACTCATTTGTCACTTTCGAATGACAATCTTATTGTTTTTCGGTTGAAAAATATTTTATAATTTCGCTTCTGGCAAAACATGAATATATATTCGAAAAAAAAACATTAGGGGAGAGCGGAGCTTAAAAGTTCGTGGGTAAAAAGAACCACTGCTAATAACTCAAAAACAAGTAAAGTTAGAAATTTTTTAACAACAATATTTGAATGTCTTTTCTATTCTATCTAGGGATCTATTTTCAATTTAAATATGTTTCATTTTTCACATTTTCAAAAAAATCAAAAATTTTACATTTTTTTCTCGTAACTAAAATTACACGTAATGTTTGGTTGGGAGGGGGGGTAGTTTTGAATATCAATCCGTATCACCAAGGGTAAGGGGGTCTAAAAATCCTTAAAAAATCGATCACGTGGTTAATGTACGCTCCCTTATATACCAATCTTGTATTACCCAATGGAATGTATAATTTTTAAAATGAGTAAAAATTGAAACAATTGTTTTTTCAGCAACTTTGCTTATATCAGGAGTTCTCAATCTTTGTGCTGTAAGTTATGATCGATTGACGGCTATAGTTTTACCTCAAGAAACACGCCTGACTAAACGGGGTGTGAGATATGTTATGGCAGCTACTTGGCTGATTGGCTTTTTAGTGGCTACGCCGCTTGCAGTATTTAGGATTTATAAAGTTAGTAATATTGATATAACTTTTATATAAATAGTTGACATTTGCTTACTAAATTTTATTATTTACTAAAAGTCTATAACAATGTGTATTATTTTCTTACCCAATCTTATAAGCAAGCATTGCAGTAGACGATCGATCTTTTGGGTCGCTGCATACAAAGATTAAGAATTAATAATAAACGTTTTATTATCAATTTTAAATTATGTTTTATATTTCAGGAGCGACAATGGAAGAACGTGTTAGAAACATATTGCAAAGAAGACCGCACGTTTCTTCCCATATATTGGCATGTTATCATTGCAGCTCTTGTTTGGCTACCATTAGGCGTCATGCTCATCTGTTACGTGGCTATTTTTCTTAAGGTATATAATAAATTACATTAAACCAAAGTAATATATAAATTTAAAATAAAATTTTTAATTTTATAATTTATGTATATGGTCCAAACAAATGTTCTCGACATTTTCGACAGTATGGAAAACCGATTTGTATGATTGAAAAACCATTCATCAATCGCGAGGCGTTTTTGCAGAAGGCAATTTGTCCGTTTCGGATGAATGGAGCGCAAGTGGAGGGTGTGAAAATGGTCATGCAGTTTTTGAAAGAACGGATCAGCCGATTAAATTAATTCAAACAACATTTTGCTTGAGTAGACGGTGTGCAAAAAAGCATTTACAGAAAAATTAGAAATTATAAACAATTTAAAAAAAATTCAAAGTATCAAAAAATTCAAATTTTCGAAATTTTCCATCATTTTCAAAAAAAAACTAAATTTTGATAAATTTCAAAAATATCAAAATTAAAAAAAAAATCGATTTCTTACAAAAATTTGAAAATATTTCGAAATTTTAAAATAAAATCGAATATTTGCAAAAATTTCCAAATTATCAAAAAATTTAGAAAAAAACTTTTTTTTTAAATTCCAAAAAAATTTCAAAATTTTGAAAACAATTCTAACCTATCAAAAAAAAAAATCAAATTTAAAAAAAATAAACAAATTTATTATAAACATATACACAATTGTTTGATGAATACGCTCGTCGCCTAATTTAGAAAGCACTTATAAGTATACAGTATGCATTTATAATAAATAATCTATTTAAAATTATTCAAAACAATTATTGAGTATTTTCATATCTCGAATGTTTAATTACGGTACGGGAAGTTCCAGCAATTTGCCTTAAGACACGATGCCATGCGCCCCACTAGTTTCACTTTTGCTTTATATATATATATATATATATATATATATATATATAAACTATATAAATAATAATTAGCCCTGTGTTTAACACAAAATATTTCATTTCTGGTACTTCAGTTTGTTCTGGAATAGTATCCTATTCACATATTGATTTTAAATAAAATAATTTTTTGAATAAGCTGGTATGTTTTAATTTTTGTGATTTTTATAATTTTGGGCAATTTAAACTCTCATAGATTCGAATAATATTTTTAAGATATTATTGCTTAGTTCGTATACCCAAACCTGAGTTTTGATGCATAATTTTTTTTATTCTAATATTAAAATGATTTTTGCACAAAACTGTCTTTTTATAATAGAAAATAAGTTAAATAAAATCTGAAAAAATGCTGAATTTCTATTATTAATATAAATTTCAGTTAGATCGCTATGAATCGATGGTACTTCGAAGAGAGCATCCTATAACCGTGAGGCATAAAACCCGCGTGGCAAAGATGTTGTTCATTGTGGTCATAGTTTTTGTGATTTGCCATTTTCCTTTTACAGCTCTCGTATTTTATAGAAGCCAAAAATTAAAAAGTGACTCTCAAATGAATCAGGTAAATAACATTTAACGCAATTAAGCACATGGGGATGTTTGCAATTTTTATAAATGATTTCCTACGGCATATTTCATCTCCGCAGGTGGATGCATCGTTTCAAATTCTTTGGTTTTCATCGCACTACTTAGTTTTTCTAAACGCTGCTCTTAATCCCATTATTTATGGCCTAACAAATGAAAACTTCAGAAAAGCGTTCAGACAATCAGCATTGTGCAAATGCTTTTTCAGTGCACCATCAGAAAAGGTAAATATAGTTTGTAAAATTTTTCATTCGAATAATCACTGATGATATCATACATTTAATTATAACATCTTTTATTATTTTTTGCGCTCTTACAGGAATATAAATTAGTCTATTTATGCCAAAAATGCATATTTTCATATATTTATAAAATATTATTTTTATTATTAATAATAATTATTATCTTTATTACAGCCAAAAGTTCGATCACCGTATCGTTTCTTCTTCGGTCGTGGTGTATTGCAACCCCGATTAGATTTGATTAAAGATGAAAAAGCACCACAAAATAGTTTCAAATTTTTGGAAAATGCTGATAGCGACCCAAAGTCCAAGAAAAGTTATACACAGAATGATGGCCTTGATTCGAGCAAACTTACGCCTCTTCCAATTACGGAAGGCTTCATATAAAATTTTGTAATTATAAAAAATGCCATTGAGGTAGTTATAACATTACCAGTGGCGTCGGAACCAAATTTTTGATGGGTGGGCTCGTTTTTTTTTAGATAGGCAGCCAGTGGTCTCGTGGCTGACCCCATCAAAATTCATGGGTGGGCTCAAGCCCACACAGCCCACACGGTTCCGACGCCACTGAACATTACCTATACATTAAAACATAAAGGTGAGAATATGTTTTTTTTTAATTCACATGTAGGCGTTCTTAAATCCGATTATGTGGATAACTTTCTGAAGAAATATTATAAACTAATATTGTTTTATTGTATATTTGTTAACAATATTTTGTCATATTTTAACTGTTTATTAAAATATAAATTATATGATTGATATCTTTATAGAACCTAACATTTTAAAACGAGTTATATTCTATCCGATCCTTTGTATATGATAAGTCTAATTCCATTTGTCTAATATGAATATTAGTAAGCTAATTATAGAAAATAGCTAATATCACAAAAGGGATCAATAAAAAAAAGATGTTGAAAATTATAACATTTTATGCAATATTATTTGAAATATTAAATGAAAAGTGGTTGTAATTTATATTTTTCAAAATACAGATAACTAAAATTATTCAGTTATTCAAAATCCATTTCTGTTGAAAATGCTTGTAAATTTTCTGTAAGTTTGTCTTTCAATTCAGGTTCTGTGCTCAAAATTTTGACAGCTTCTTGGAGAAGTACCATACATTCACCCAGCGTATCCTGAAAATAAAATAAGCCATTTTTTTATAGTTATTATAACGTAATTAATAATTATATAATTTTAATGAATTTTGATCAATACATGCACATCATTTAAATAACATTTCCAAATGTGTTTCATAATATTAAAAGTATCTACAGTTTGTCCTAAGTTTGTTATGCAGTATTTGTATAATATTATTTTGCCATTTAGAAATCTATTAACTGCAATATATTCAATATAAATATATAGAATCTTTCTTGTTAATCCCCATTACATTATTGCGAAGAGGACGTGAAATTTTTAGGAGAAAAATATTATTAATAGATTCACCGAATATCTTTAGCGTTTTATTTTAGAATCGAACACAAACTCATTTTTATTAGGGAGGGCGGGGCACAAAGGTCCAATTCGACTTTGAGCAATTATATTGTGAAAACTAAAACAAATATGTATATCATAAAAAATAACACATATTAAACAAACAACTATCTGACTATGATCAGTAAAACTGCCAGCTAATTCATTATTGTAGAAATATGTTAATGTGAATTTGAATCTAATAAATTACTTGTCTTACCGTAGTTTCATTTTTTGAAATCAAGTTGTTATTGAACATGTGTTTGGTTTGGATAACCATCGCCGCTTGCAAGCTCATTAGTAGACATCCTCTAAACTTCGACCATCCAGGATCTAATTTTTCTGCTATTTCTAGTAAATCTTGACATGTATTAACAATATTGTCTATAGTTTTAATATCTAGTTCTGCAATTGACAATGTCGTAAAAAAATAAAATAATAAAAAAAATTATTATGCTCACAAAAATATTAGATCTTTTGGAAAATGATTTCTTTTTTCCACTGATATAATAATGCAAAAAGTTATAACAATGCAAAAAAATTAAGAAGTTAGAAATTTTAATCCAACAATTTGGAGAACGAATAACACAAAAGATTGGTAAAGAATTAAATTTATCAAATTCATACCTGAATATGAGTAACCACTGACAGTTCCGTATATTTGCATTAAATCAAATTTCACTCTAATGACGTGCGCATTTGTCGGATGAAGGATTTTTTCATATTTCGACAAAAACTTTTCTATTGCTGCAGGAGATGATTTGTCAAGTCTGTCAATTTCTTCATGGATAGTAATATTACCGAACTTCATAAATTTGGAAGGAATCGAACGATTACAAACCTCGCATGTCCAAGGAGCAAGTATATCGAGAGGGTTGCTGGACAGCATTTTGGGTAAAACGACATTTTCTTCAGATCTACAATATTCAAAATTAATTTAATTCAGCGTATTTTCAAATAACACCTTATTTATTCTAACCTATCACATTAAACCTATTCTCAGAGAAGCTTGTTAGTAGGATGACAGATTTAGAATAAAAGAGTTGACGCGTGTGTTATATTGGTTATTTGTTCACTTGATTTTCTTTGAAATATACTTCTATATTGGCAGATTCTGTAATCCTAATTTAAGCTATCCCTGAATAGACTTTTGAATGTATACAAATCTAAATAAAAATGTAATCCAATAAATAATATTTACTAAAAAAATCTAATAATTTATTTAATATACAAACGTGCAGTTACACTTATTTTATTTTTTAAAATACATAAAATGCATCGAAGATGTCTTTTAAAAATAGAACAGTCTATATATCTTAATATAGAAAATGAATAAAGTTTTGTTCAATTAAATCATTCTTATTATTCAATCAGCAAAACCTTTTATCACAAAAATAATATTACAAAAGTAATTAAAATTACAAAAAATTGAGAAAATTTAATAATAATAATTCGACTGAATGACTAACAATTTTATATACAGTTCATTGAACACGAGAATTAAAGAAAAAAATGCTGTTAACAAAAATGTTTAAATTTTTATCGAATATAATTTTATAAATATATTGAATCAGATGTAGCAAACTTTATGAGAATTTAAATTAAATTATTTTATAATATGGGACCTAATTTTAAATTGAAAGAATTAAAGAATTGAATAGGAATATGATTATGAATATGAAATATATAAATTTTAATTGTGTAATTCTAAGTCGATATGATTTAAATATGTATTGACTATAAATAATACAAATGCCATCCACCTGCTCTGTAAAGTAACAATACAACGCTATTCAGTGAACATGTTATGGAAACAATGTTAACAAATTTATGAAGTCTACGACGCGTAGCGGGCCTAGCTCAGGCAGTAGCATGCCCGACTCACATGCTAGGGATTCTCGGTTCGAATCGATTAAATTTGTAGTGTTAAAATTAAAGTTACAGAATTCGAATAGTTGAGTTGAATCAGAAGTAGGAAAAAAAAAGATTAGAATACGCGAAGATAATAGGAAGAATGATGAAATAAATAAAGATAGGAGTTAAATAGGATTAGAAATTAGAAAATAAAAGATTAGAAGAGAGAGAGAGAGTGAGGAAAGTGAAGAGTGAAGAAATAGCTGACGCCCCGGATCAAGTAGATCTTAAATTGCTAAATTCTAGATAGATTAAAAATAGAAGTTAGAAGAATGAACGCAGATATAAAGAAAATTGTATACTAATATACATATATACAAAAATAGAATACGATATATTAAAGGTAGTCTATGATATAATAAAAATAGTATATATTATAATGAAGATAGTATAAAGTGTAAAGAAGTAAGTTTCATGGCTCTAAGTAACTAAGGCTAAGGCCAATTAAAAAAAGTCTACGACACAGTTTAATTTTGCACGAATTAAATCAACACTATTTGACAATTGCCACATATTTTGCATTATTTTGAAAAAAGTGTAGAACGTATGCTATATTTATATTTTTCATAGAAATATTTACGCATTGTTTATGATTATGCAAAAATATCCTGAAGGTTTAAACCGCGAATAAAGCGCAAAATATTCGATCAGATTTTTGTTATCATCAAATATGGATGGATTATTCAATGGGTTACCATCTAAAAAATACGAAGTAAGGAAAAGTTTCAGCCCAACAGCTCATAGGACGTAAGGTTCTGATTGCTGTTAAAATATATATAAACTAGTGGGGTGGGTGGCATCGTGCCTTAAGGCGAATTGCTGGAACTTCCCGTACCGTAACGACATGTTCGAGGAATACTGAATGTTTTCAAATAGATTATCATAAATATTGTAACATTGTCTAATATTTATAAGAATTATATAAACTAAATTGCAAAGTTGAAATTATTTGTTTAAAGTATATTAGAACTATAGTCAGAATTAAAAATAAAATCTGAATTATTTTCGATATACAAAAAATTAAAAAAAAAAAAATTGAAACAAAATTTTTTTTCCAAAATCAATTATTTTGTTAAGACAAGCAGAAAGTTCTTTGAATCATTCAAATCGGACTCTTAGTTCTCTCAAAAACTGCCATTTTTTGCATATTTAGCTCCGTATCTTTGAAATGGCCGGGCCTGCCTTTGCTAAAAACTAATAAAGACTTCTCCCAATCAATACAAATTGAATGTTTTTTTTTGAACATTCAAATCGGATACTCCGTTCTCTCAAAAAGTCGATTTCTATTTTCTGCACTCTTTGCTCCGTATCCTCGAAACGGCTGGACCTGCCTTTGCCAAAAACTAATCAGCTCTTTTCCCTATCGAAAGGAATCGAATGTTTTTTGAACCATTCAAATCGGTTGATCCGTGCGCCCGAAAACGTGACTGGAAATTTGTATCCATACATACATACACACACACACACATCCATTTTTTCTGAGGTATGCCAAAATGTTCAGAAACCTTCAAAACGTCGAGAAATGTAAAAAATTTCAATTCCGATTTTCGGCCCATTACAATAACTTACCCTACGGGAAGTTTAAAAAATGATTTTTGTTATGAATAATAATTGATGAGGTTACAGATAATGTCACTCACTTTTCTTCTTCATTTTCTGCACATGTAAAACAGTACACTGATCCTGCAAATGTGCCTAATTCAGTAGGATCAGCACATCTTTTACAAGAACAGTCAATTCCCTTATTGAGTAGCTGCTCTTTTCGTTCAAGAGTTCCGATCATTGTCTTCACATACGAACATGTAATCAACTCTCCCTTATTAATTTTCACTGTAGACATTAATAACAAATTATCATTAACAAACATTAATTTAGAATTAGGTATACAGTTATGGGCCACTTTCAGTGTTTTAACATAAAATCCTTGATATTTATATCCTGATTTATTAATTTCACAAGAGTTCGCCGTGACAGTATTGAGTGCTTGATTGATTTCACTTTCAGAATGTCCTAAGTTTGTTTCACTCACTTTAATTGGAACTAAATTTCCCTTTCGTAAATTTAAATTTTCAAACTTCTTTCTAGATTCTCCACCTATCATTAAAAAACGTAATGCTGCTAATTTTGCGTAGCGATTTTGACTATCAGGACGTAAGTTTTGCAATAAGTTACATTCCTGAGCATGATGAGAAGACGATTCACATTTTTCCGAACATAATGGCCACTCGCATTTTGAACATTTCATCCAAGACTGCTCATCATCAGGATTAAGGACTTTGTAGCAAACTGAACACAAACATGTAGAATTTGATAACGGAGCTAGAAATGAAAATTATATTATTAAAATAGTAATTTCAGAAAAAAGCCTAAATATCAAATTTATGTATATATAAACAAATACAATATACAGAATTTTATAGTGAGCAATATATTGAAACCAATTCTTCTCAAGATTTTTTTTTTTGGTTCACATAAGTCAAAAATAATTTTTATTTCTATGTAAATAATTGTCAGTAATCTTTGCAAATCATGAGTTGAAATGAGATTATTAACATAATTCTGAACGAATTACCCAACATCTAATGACTTATTATTTAACCACATACATATGAAGTAATAATTAAATCTTAAAAAAACATCGAAATTGTCACCTCGTCACATTTGAAGTAAATTACTTCTTAATAATTGTAGGTTAAAATACATACTCATTTAAAATACGGACAAAATGGCATATAAGGACAAAATTACACAGTGTCCTTATTTAAAATTTGGCTAGTTTTAGTAACGACAGTATAACGTTGAGAAAGCAATAATAACAATCCTGTCAGATGTTGTGTGTCATTGTCACAGCAATCAGTTTAAATCTGTACCGCGCTTTCACAAGTTTATTTTGAGGACGGTTTAATTATATTTTTGTGGGACTTATTTATTGTTATTTCGCATTATTTCTATTAAAATCAATGAGGTGATGATTCACTTTTAACTTCTACTCTAATTACTTCTAAAAACAGACGAACAGTCTGCATCGAGCATTCGTGCGATACACATCGGTAAATAAATTTACATAATCTGATAAGAGCGAAAAAAAAAAAAAAAAAATACAGTGTAAAATACAGTGAATTATATGTGGGTTTGTCTACCCTGGGGGTATTTTACCCAAAAGTTTGTGGTTTTACAATATTGTCTATATATTTGTATTTGTACAATATTTTATTCATTATTTCGCAAGGACAAAAAAAGGAGACGATTTTTGTCACCTAAAAAAAATCCTTTATTCATTGTTTTATGGCTTATGTATTCACTGCGGGCTCGATCAGGTAGTTAGGCATGGCATAGTTCCCGTACCAGATCATTTCTGATGTGTACTGGCCTAACGCGCGGATGGTACTATTATCGTGATCCCTACACTTTCGGTAAAAATTCTCGGTGAGCTTTTTTATGTGTTCGAGTATGGTCGGTATGTCCGTCTGTTCGTGTAAATATTTCGTTGGGTAGTAGTGTCTCGTCAGTGGGTTCCTTGATTTGTCTAGTACCAGTCGCAGTGCTTTGTTCTGTGCTATTTGTAGTCTCCGTCTGTTGGTCTTGGTTGTCGCGTTCCATGCCGGAGCGGCGTATGTCAGTAATGGTCTTATCAGTGTCAAGTAAAGTGTCCGCTTGTTCTTCACGCTTAGCGGGCTGTTGTGGTTCAAAAGAGGTCTCAGTAGATTCATCATCCCGTAAGCCTGTCCAATTTTTGTATTCGTATGTTTTGTGAAGCTGAGTCTATAGTCCAAGGTTACGCCAAGGTATTTGACTTCCTTGGACCACTCAGCTTCATGGCCCATTACCTTTAGTTTCGTCAAGTCAGTAAGTGTAATGGACCAACGGCTTTTTGTAAAGAAAATTGCTTCTGTTTTAGAAGGATTGATTTTAATTTGCCATTTTTCCGTGTAATCAGTCAGGGCGTCTATATGTCTCTGTATTTTTGTAGTCAGTAGCGTAGGTGAACGTGATGATCTGTGAATGGCAGTGTCGTCAGCAAATGTCAACAGTGTTGTGTCGGCGTCAGTGGGCATGTCGTGGATGTAGACGTTAAACAAGGACGGTCCCAGGATCGAGCCCTGCGGTACTCCCGCCGTCACTTGTTTAATCGTCGAGGGTGTGTTGTCTACTTGAACTGTGAAATTACGGTCAGCGAGGTAAGAATGGAGTAGTTTTGTGATGTATGGTGGAAAGTTAAGGGTTATGAATTTGTGTATCAGTCCGTCCATCCAGATGGTGTCAAAAGCCTTCTCGAAATCGAGCAACACCAATCCGGTATGGTTTCGTCTATTGAAGTTGAGTACAGTGTTTTCTATTAGTTGTGTCAGTGGATGTAACGTAGAGTGCTGTTCCTTAAAGCCGTACTGTGTGTCTGGTATAATCTTGTTTCGTCTGATGTGTCTGTTGATGCGTTTGAGTAGTACCTTTTCAGTTACTTTGCTCATTGTATTGAGGAGGCTGATTGGTCTGTAATTTTGCGGAGAGTCTGGCTGTTTCCTCGGCTTCAGGATAGGAAATATGGTCGATGTTTTCCATGAAGCAGGAAAGTGGCCTTTGGCCATTATACGGTTAACCAGTCGTGTGATTAGTATGTATGCGTTCGTTGGTAGTTGTTTCAGTATTATATTTTGTAGTCCGTCCGGTCCGGGTGCTTTTCTGTTCGGTAGTTTTCTGATTGTCAACTTTATTTCTGAAACTGTGGCAGGGTCTATTCGTAGGTCTTTGTCGTTAAATTGTTCAGTAAAATTTTGAATAGAATTGCGTACGTCTCGTCTTAAGTCTGCGTTGGACATGTCGGCGTTTTGTCTGTGTATGTTTTCAAAGTGTGTTGCTAAAATTTCTGCTTTGTCTGCTGGTGTCGTGGCGTAGTTGTTGTCAGGTAGTTTGAGTGGCGGGATAGGTGTTGTTTTCCTCGTCAGTCTTTTGGCTGTTTGCCAAACTTTGTGCGGGTCAGTGTTGATGGTTTCTAGTTTTTTAGTCCAAGTGTCATTCCGGTGCTCACGTATCTCATTATGAATAATTTTTGTCAGTCTGTTTACGTGTTCCTTTAGTAGTCTGTCACCAGTACGTTGCCACAGTTTCTTTATATTGTTCTTTAATTTAATTTTTACTAATATTTGTTGAGGAAGCGTGTCAAATGTGGATGTATTTGCGTGTCGCAGCGGTATTGTGTGTTGGATGGTGTCCGTGATCGTCCGTGTCAGATGTGTCACAGCCTCCTCTATGTCTGTATTGGTCTCTATGGGTATCGTGTGTCGTATATTGTCTGTAATAATTTCTCTAAAAAGTGGCCAGTTGGCTCTGGAATAATCCAAAATGTTGCGTTCTGGAGTATTGTCGACGTCGAGTCTGTCAGAGATAGTCATAAAAACAGGGTTATGGTCAGAGTTGAAAAGTGTTCTAGTTATGAGTTCGGATGTTATGTGAAGATTTTTTGTCAAGGCTAGGTCGATCGTGCTGTGATGGTGCGTCTGTACGGTGGCGTATCTGGTCGGCGTGTCAGGATAGTGCAGTTGTGCGTCCGTGGTGTTGTGTTCCGTCAGATATTCGTAGAGTCGGATCCCGTTCGCGTTGTTGTAGTTGCAGTTCCAGGATGTATGTTGCGCGTTGAAGTCTCCTGCCATTAAGACGTGTGTATTTGAGTCAAGTAGGTTTTGTAGGTCCGTCAGTTGCAGTCCGCTTGCCGGGATGTAAATCGATATTATAGTCACTTTTTGACCTCTTTTGTATACATTAATAGTTGTTATTTCAGAACCGCCCGCTGTCAGGTTTGGCACTTGCTCGTGTCTTATATTAGACTTGATCAATATCGCAGTGCCTCCCCATCCGCGTGAGTTTGTCGGTCTGTCGTTCCTGTATACTTTGTAGTTGTTGATGTAAAGTCTGTCCGTGGGTTTAAGGTGTGTCTCGTTAATTAGTACAATGTCCAAGTCATATTTTGTTATGGTCTGTTTCAGTTCGTCTACGTTGTTTTTGAGTCCGTTGGAGTTGAAGTACATTATGTGTATGTCGCGTGCGTGATTTATGGGCATGCCGTTAAAAAGTTAAGTATGGTTGTGTATTTGTCATTGTAAGTCATATTTGTGTTCAATGTCTTTGTCAGTTTATAAAGCTCACTGAAAATTTGTCTTACCTCGGGATCCGCGAATAACTTCCTGATCTCGCCCATAACAGTAAATAGTCCCTCCGGTGTACTCAGGTCTGGATCGGACTGGCTGGTGGTAGGCCGGATTCGTGAGGATGCTGGCCGGATCGGTTCTGGTGTTGGCTGGATCTTCGGCGATGGATACTGGGAGGCCGGCTGTGTTCGTGGTGATGATGGTACCGGGAGTTCAGGAAACGCAGATCTGTTGTTACGGCCATCGCTGGTGGGTTGTAAGGCTGACGAGAAGCTCCTCGTCAGCGGCGCAGGTGTTGGCGCTGGCTTGTATGCTGGATTTCTCTTAAGCGCATCTTTGTCTCTTTTTGCTCTATAGTTGATTAGAGCTGGGCATTTAGAATAGTTAGCCGGGTGGTTTTCTTGGCAGTTCACGCATTTCGGATCCTCGGTTGGTGGCTTCGTGCACACTCCCGGTGGGTGCACATTCGTGCATTTTATGCATCTATACCGCATGTCGCACGTGTACGAGGTATGGCCGAAGTTTAGGCACTTGTGGCACTGGATGGTCTTGTTTAGTGGCCTGTAGCTTTCCCATTTAAATATATGTCCTTCTATATTGTTTATTTCCTTCAGTTTGGCCATCTCTTGTTCCTTATCTAGAAGGACAATATATATAGGGAGTTTGCGTTGACTGCCGTCCGATTCCTTCTTCTTAATTTGGACCACCTGCTTCACCTTAATGCCCTTGGCTTTCAGCTCATCAAGAACCACCGTTTCAGTAATATCTGGATTTAGGCCAGTTATAGTGATTTTCTTAGGGATGTCATGCTGCATAGTATAGGTGTAAAATTGGAAATCACAATCCCTTAGTATGGTTTTCAGTTTTTCATGTTCTGCAATCGTATCGGCATATATTTTGTGCAATTGTGGCTTTAAATATTGGGTCCTGAATATTATTTTCGTCGTATCTTTGATATATTTGATCACTTTTAAATCCAGCTGGCCTTTGACGATGATAGGTGGAATCTTTGGATCTGTTACGGTGGTGTTCTTGGGTGCTAAATTCCCCGTTTTCGATGTAGATGGCTTCAGAGTGTTAACAGTCTGGTTTCCTATCACATTGTCTGCGTTGTTTTGCCTCAACCGCTTCTTGCGTTTGACTGTCCGGTACTCGTCTATCTCTCGATCCGTGTCCATT